AGGGAAGGGAGCAGAAAACACAGCATCAGATCAGGCAGGGGAAGGGGATCAGCCCAGCACTTGGAGAGGGTGCAGAGCTAATCTGTGGCATGCCTGCCAAAAACACTGGTGCCCCTCTGCAGCAAGGGGCAGTTAGGTTGGAGATTAGAAGCCTCCTGACTGTGAAGGTAGTCAAGCACTGGAACAGATTATGTAGAGAAGCTGTGGAGTCTCCATCCCTGGAAATTTTGAAGACCTGGCTGGATAGACACTTGGTTGGAATGGTTTAAGTCAGGGCCAATGCTGCCTGGAGTAGGGGGCTGGATAAGAGGACCTTGTGAAGTCCCTTCCAGCCTTACTTTCCTATGATCTCAGTGAGATCTCACCCAGGAGGTGTTAGAAATAACTGCCACTGCCATCCCACCCTTTGCATAGGGCACAGTGGGTGGGAAGTCCGGGCTGCATGGGAGGGGTATTTTCAGATGGAATCAGGACTCCAGGGTCATGGGGGATTTAGGAAGGCAGAACCGAGTGAGCTGGGCTGAGGCTTGGTCAGGGCCCTGGCGTAAATATGCCAACTCCTGGTGAGAGCATCCTGTGCAACACTATCTTAGCAGTCCCCTGGCCCTGCAAGCCTCACTGCCAAGGTCCCACACATCCCCCAAGCAACTCTGCATTGGGAAGGACTCCACCTCCCCATCTGATCCATTCCCTACCTGCCCCTCATACAAAACCTCAGCCCAGCCCCCTCCCAAGCCCCAGCTGGTCAGAGGACAAGGCTGGACTTACCCAGAGCCCCCTGGCAGATATCTGTTCTTGTGGCACCTCCAACAATGAACTGGGGGTCATCCACGATTTCCTGTTGGGGAGAGAGAATCAACTATGGGTGCCTAATCTCACCAGGATTCGCCCTCTAGTCTCTCTTTGCATGTGGCCTCCTGTACAGGGGAACGATGTGGGTGTGCAGCACCCCATGACTTTGGTACCATACCCTTTGTACCTTCCCTGAACTCTGGCTGGGAAAAAGGGCTTGGCTGTGACAATCCCATGGCTACACAAACTCCAAAGGAGTCAACGGGGAAAAGCTTGATAGCCTTCTGATGTTGAGACATGGGGACCAGGCCTGAGAGAGTCCCCATCTGTAGCAGTGGCAATAGGGATCACCACCCCAAGGGCCCCCCAGTCCCTGCAGGTCATATGTTTCTACCCGAGTGAGTGCAATTCCATTCAGAGGGGGGCAAAGGGCAATGCAGAGAGTAGCCTCCGCATTTCATTGCCCAGCTCTGCTGACCCAAGAAAGGGAGCTTGCTTGAGATGTCAACAGGTTGGCAGGGTGCAACCTTTTCCTGGAGAATGGCATCTGATATCCAAGGGAGGCAAGGCCCTGAGCAGGCAGAGGGGGTGGGGAGCTGGGCAGACAGGGGAACAAGACTTGCAGTAGGCAAAGGGACTGTGGGTTGTCGTCATGTTAATGAGCGGCCTCCTTGGGATAGGCACTTACCGATGGGCGCTTCCAGCACACCCCCTGGGTCTTGCCGGAGTGTGGTCCCAGCTCCTTGAAGCCAAGGACAGAGGGGACAGCTGGGAATTGGGGGTCCGCAAAGAGGGTGCCACTCTCCAGGCACTCCTGCTTCAGGGTCTCATAGTCCTGGTTGAGGTACTTGATGGAATTGTGGTGCTTGCCAACCCCCTCAGCTCGCAGACGGTCCCTCTGCAGCCGGGCAGCAATTCCCCCGAAGGGCATCATAGTGCAGCTGACCAGGTACAGGTGGCACCAGCTTCAACACCTCCCTCTAGGTTACAAAGGCACCATTAGACAAGCTGGGCACAACAGTGTGGGGGGGTGGGATGGGAGGAGCAGTGGGGAAGGGTCTTCCTACAAGGACCACACTTGCTGCAGGAGGTTGAGCTAGTTAGAGAAGGCACGGTTGGGATCTAGGCCATTAATTTAACAGGCAGGAAATCTCTTCCTCACCTAGGACTCAACTTCCCCCTTACTCATGGTTCTAAGGAAGCCAAGGTGGCAAGTGTCCAAGCCTGGGCTGGTCTGTAGTGCAGGAGGAACCCTGGAGCCATCACAGGCTGCTAGGGGCCATTACCACACTCCACGCCCTACTCAAACACTGGCCCTGCTGTTTAGAGAGGGGCCTTGGCTGCTGGCCCAAGCTAGTCACACATCCATTCTCATTAGTGCTCTGTCAAACAAACCAGGCTGGGAGCAGAAGGGGAGGGCAACTCTGCTGACAGCAACACAGAGGGATTTCCTGTAAAGGGGCCAGCTGAGCACACTAATAAAAGATATCAGATTTACCCAAAGAACCTTGTTTGCCTATGTCCTTAGACCAATGTGGCTGCAACCTATGCCCAAGCATCCTAGGCGCTTTGCTCCCTGCTCTTCCTATGTCCAAAGCATCTCTCCTAGTGTCTGTAACTACCAGCCACGACTTTGGGCAACATACTTCTCATAGCCCCCTTCCCTACAGCACCTTCTGCTGGTGGGGGGCAGGGACTTGGGCAGTCTCGTGCTCCCCTTGTCCTGTTTCCTAGCTCTCCCTTCAGGCTGTTAGTGTTCACATGGTGCTGTTTCTCCCAGAAATGAACTAGTCTGAGACAAGAACAGGTATGTCCAAGGAGAGGCAGTTGGAGGGTCTGCACTTGGGTTCCATGTGCCTTCTCCTCACTGGGAGGTGACTCAGTGTTTGCTCATGTGAGGGCAACACATGGGGAAGGTGTGGGGGACACTATTCATGAGTGGAGCTGTTGCCATCTCCACGGGAGCTGTGCAAGGCTGGGGGAGGAGGGGCAGCTCTTCCCAAGCTGGAGGGAGTGACTCAAGTATGGCTCAGAGCTGTGAGCACACAGGATTCTGGGAAAGTGCCGCTCCCTCAGGGAGATGGGGGGGCTGTCTTCTACCAAGGCAGTGTCCCCCACGCTGAGAAGCGCTAACAGGGGTTGAGGAGAAAGGGCACATGGGTGTACACATAGTGGGATGTGAAATATCCAGCCCCCAACCCCTTCCGGAGACTAGGCTACAGGGACTGGGGCTCTGTCCCAGTTCTGGAGTGGGCATGGCCATTACTGGGGACAACTGACATCCCTTTGCCAGATCACAGGCTGCACCAGCCCCTGGGAGTGCAGTCTGCACACCTCATTTGTGCAACGCATCAGTCCTTGGGCGGCCTGTCCCAGAATACCAGCACAGGCCCCACAAATAGGCTAAGCTGGGTGCATGCGAGCCAAACCCTGACCTCCTTTGCTAGGACTCTGACCCATCATGTTCTTGAGTTAGTGACGGATGGGAGAAGGCAGAAGGGCCCACTGCAGCAAAGCAAAGGCCTGCAAAGCCCTTGTTGCTGAAACACTTAACAAGTGGTTCCAACAAGGGGGGTTTCGGTTTATGTGACAGGCCCCAGGACTCTGCTCTGCCCCATTCAACAAAATGGGCTGTAACCCAGCACACTGCTCAGAGGTGCACCACGCTCTGCTCCAAGATGGCAGACAGTGCAAGAGTCATGGCAGCACATACTGCATGTAACCAGGTGAGAGGCTGGCTGATACAGCCAAGGCCCATCTCTGAATGTTGGCTGGCACCAATGCCCAAGAAAGTCACGGAGCATCAGTTAAAATATTATACCTATTGGAAGTGAACAACAAGCTCCCCATCCCAAAATCCTGGCTCCTCTTCCTTCTCCAGGGTGACACCCAGCCAGGCCAGCAGTGGGACTCTGATGGGACTGGTTCATGCACCTTCTGCTTCCTGTTGCCCCACACCACACCTAAGATGTTAACCCAAACTAGGGAGCTAGAAATCCTACTCATCAGAAACTTGTCATAACCTTTCTGATGCCAGCCAGGGTCTCTGTTCCACAGGCACTGCTGCCAGAGCTCCCTGGGGTAGGAGGGGACCAGACACCAGCCTACCCCAGGCTGCCATGTCACCCTCACTATTGCCTACACAACAGAGGGAAGTTGGAGCCTAGTTGCTAAGACATGCCGTCTGGCCCTGGAGTTATCAGGGGTAAGTGAAAGGCACTGCCAAGCTTGGGCAGCTCTTGCTGTGTCCCATTGCGCTGCTGCTGGGGCTTGGTTTGAGCTAGAAACTGGGTCCTGAAGCAGACATAGGGCACACACAGCTCCCTGTCCCTTCATGGCTCTACTTGCGTCACCCAGATGTTCACTGAGGTCAGAGGGAGGAAGCCTGTCTTCTTCCACCACTGCCTTAGTCCTGCTCCCCACTACCCTAAGCACCTGGTTCCCTTCCCCCCAGGCAGTACCATCTCTTCTCACCCTTTTGCCCCTACCTACCACAATCCACTGCCTTCCCTATCCCAAGCCCCCAGTGCCACCCCTGATGACACAGCCCCAACACCCTTGAGAACCCAAAAAATCATCCTCTCTGCACCAGTCCTGCACCTTCTGTCCCCTTGGGCTGACTCCTCCTATTTGAATGGCAGGGCAGGGCCCAGCTAAGCTGACTGAAGGGCAATCCCAGGCACAGTCATCCCTGCTGTCTCCATTTCCTGCCTTGCGGTTTCCCCTGCTTTGAGCCTCCTCGTGCTCTCAGGCAGGCCTGTGCAGCCCTGATATGGGTGTGTGCATGCTCTTAGAGGCTCAGTTGTTCCAGAGATCTTCTTCCCTGGCACTCCTAGCCCCTCTCCTCCACAGCACTGTGAGTACAGTGTGCCACCTTCTGACTCCTGCACAGCCACTGGCTGACACCAGCCTGCCCATGGACTGACCCCACGAGGGCTGGCAGTAGCTCTGATGGTAGTACTTTGGCTCAGTACCACAGGAAATGCCCCAGGTTGCTCTGTGGGTTTGACTACATCTTGGTGAAGCCATAACAGGCCTTGAATCCTCCCTTGTGGCTTACTGATGTTCCCATCAGATAAGGAAAAAATATAACTGGCAGTCATCTTTCAAGCACCACCAGCTGGGTGGCACCAAAAATGGCCACCACTCCCTGCCATGCAGTACTAGTTCCTGTAATACAATCTTCCCTCTCCTTCAGCATGTGGTGGGTACCACTGAACGTCTCTGGGATATCCATCACCTGCTGAGCCAATGCTTCCTCAATAGACTGGGGCAAGGTTGAGGAAGGCCATGCCAGTGAGAGGGGCCCTCCTCCCCCAGGGAGGCTGTTTCAGGCTGGCTGCAGACTCAGGCAGGCTTCCCTGTGATGGCTATGCTCAGCACATGTTTTCTAGCTTCCCTTCACAGCCAGGATATGGTAGAACAACCACAGGACCAAGCTTCTCTGCACAGCCTGTGCCTCTGTGTCAGCTCAAGCACCAGCGGCTACACCTAGCAGCTGCTTCTGAAGCTCAGCCCCATGCACTGCTAGGACCACAGACACTCTGAGCTGTGGCCAGCAGACACGGTGATCCCTTGGGCACTGCAGGGGTTATTATTAGTCTTGTTACTCAGAGTAGTTCAGAAGGTCCTGGTGGCTGCTGTGCTCACAAAGGAGCACAAACAGCCACTGACTGATGAGGCTACCTGAGCACAGAGGGAGAGAAGAGTATTTCAGTTTCATGGGGATCTTGGTGCCAGCTGGGCAAGAGCAGGCAAAGGCAAAGGATTCACACAGGCTGGGGGTGCTCAAATCAGTAGGTGCCCAGGGTGAACAGAAGGGTGCACATTGCTGGCCTGTGCTTCAGAAAAGCACAAACCAACAGTTGTTCAGGGACTGCCCAAGGGACAGCTCAGTGGGAACCTTAGAGCATTTTCCTCTCTCTGATGCTGAGTGTACTTCTGGTCCCAAAGAGATTTGGAAAATGGGTCTCCTGGAAACATCCTGCTGCCAACCAGACCCTGAAATCCTGGGCATCCCCAGGCCAGCCAGAAGGCATGTTACCAAGCCCAGCTGTTGCATGGGTCCCGAGGTCCATCCACTGCAGACCTCCAGGTGGGAAGCTCCTTGTGGGCAGCTGTGCAGGGCACAGAGTATTCAGACACCATGGGGATGGCCACAAAGAGAAACTATAGTATAATGGAGAGAGCCCTTGGCTCTCATTTGCCCCACAGTTAGGTCCTGTCATCCCTTCCAGGGACCATTCCCAAGCAGGCTGGGGACAAGGGTGCTCAGTCCTGAGCATCTTGCCACAAAGAGGGCAACAAGCTAGAAGAGCTCAGAGAAGGGCCAGGAGGGCCACCTGTCTATGAGAGGGCTGACAGTGGAGAGGCACATAAAGACTGCCGGTCTGAGGTGGGACATATGCCCTGAGGGGAGGAAGAGGGTGTACTGAAGAGGAAGGGAGGATTTAAGTTGACTTGCAGATAAGTATTGCCAGTGGGGAGATGGATGTGGCTAGGGGAATCACTCCCCCCAGAAGGTCACCCTGGCTGGGATGTTTAGAACTAAGCTGCCAAGGCCTAGTAAAGGTGCAGGGCACATCACTGTGCTGTGGCCCCCTGAAGACCTGCCCCTCTCTTGGTGCAGTGCCTTCTCAGAGCAGTTACTCCCCTGTCTTCTCTGCAGTGACACTGGGGAAAGGAGCAGGGGGCAGACTATGGCTGTGCAGGGTCACCTGCCCTCATCCCTCCAGCCTGGTGCTGTGTGAAGTGTTGGCGCAACCACAGCACCAGCTGGGCAGGCTCTCCCCCCTAAACTCCCGCCCTCAGCCATTCTAGCACACTCTGCACATGGAGAAGCATGGGGCCAACAGGGGAGGGGAGCACAGGTGCCCTGTTTGCCTGGCTTGGCAGAAACTTGTCTCACGAAACGACCAGGCCTTCCAAACCCCAAATGTGCCCACAAAGGCCTCTCCGCTACTTCCTCCCAGAGGCTGCCTGCAGACAAACCAACCCTAAGCCAGCTCTGGGTTTGTTCAGCTCCCAGCACTGAACTGAGCCCAGCCACACTGAGGCCGTAATCTTTGCTGAGCCTCACCGTGCAGAGGACTCCTGGGTTCAAGTCCCGGCTCTACCAGCGACCCTCTGCACAGCCTTGGGTCTGGCCACTGTGCCCCTCTGTGCCATGTTCGGGGTCAATAGCACATGTGCCCGACCCCTAAGTGCCAGGACTTGGCTTCTCCAGCCTCCCTGAACTAAGGGAGATAGTTCAGTGGTTGCCGTCAATTCCCACCATCCAGGTCTTGCCCCCATTCCAGCCAGCTGTCTGGAGAAGCCCTTCCAGATGGGCTGACTCCCCTGAGGGGAACAGACCCCAGGCTGTGAACGGTGGGTGCCCTGTACACTGCCAACCATGGAAGAGCGCCAGCAGAGACACCTCTGGAGGTGCACAGGAGCCAGTGCTGGACAGTCTCCAGACATTATTCCAGGGAGAAGCCTGGCTTTCTGCCCTAATCACAGGGGCACACACATACTAGGTGCCTGGCTAGTAGCCAGATGGCCATGCTGAGCTGACCAGGTTGCCTAGGAGACTGCCATCTCTTTGAGCCCCTGCCCATGCCTGTCATGCGTAGGTGGCATGGAGTGCAGCAGAGCGTGGCCAAAGTGAGTGGGACAGCTTTGACTCTGTGCCAACACTCACGATTTGCATCAAGGACCTGTTGCAGTGCAGCCATCCCTGCCTGAGTTGGGAGGATATTAAGTTATTGCTGTAACAACACCGGGACCATCACTCAGAGGAGAGATGTGGAAAACTCTCACATGGCTAGAAAGTAAAAAGAAACTTGGGACTGGCTTGGTTGGGCCCTGCTCATTCCAAAAGGAGACCCGATGTGGCTCAGCCCACCCAGAGGAGCCCAGGTACTAATTGCATTTAAGCTCAAACCTAACCCAAGTCCCTCATGCCCACTGCACCCAGTGAAGTATCAAGAACTACCAAGGTTTGTATGACAAACTTTTCTTCCAAGCCCCCACCGTTCACATCCCATTCATATAAACATACATCTGGACATCTGGCACCAAGATGCAGCCACCTTGGCAGTGCAGCATGCCAAAAAGCAATGCAATACACAACAGGGTAGAGCAGGAACTTAACCATGGCTGCAGGGAGAAGGGAGGAAGGCCTAATGCAGATCTACAGGCTGAGATTTGGCCAAACCAAGGAAACTCCCCAGGCCCGTTTCCCAGAAGTGGAAGCCGCGAAGAGGCTGTGGCCCCAGCTATGTGGTATCTTACAAAGGAAAAGGCACTGGTGCACAGAAAGGTGTCCCTGGGGATCTCCAGGGCCCACTTCAGCAGACAGCCGTGGAGCAGGAAAGCTGTATCTTGTAAACACCATGAACGGCAATGTTTCCACTGCTCTTCCAAGCCCAGTGACCTGCAGGCTCATTTATGCAGGGGACCTGCAACAGCCCCCTTGGCTTCAGCATCTGCTGCCAGAAGCAAAGCCCGCTCCTATCCTTCCAAAGACACAAAACTGTCCCCAGCCCTCCCCCCACCATAGTGGGGCTTCTCTCCAAGACGGGGGCAGTGCATGAGAACAGCAAAGTGGAGTATGGGGACAGCACAAAGTGGGTGGAAGGAAGGAAGCGACTGCCAAGATTTCCCCACCCAGGACTCTCTGGAGCTGGCACCCCAAGGGCACCTTTAGGCAGCAGACGGGGCCAGCTTTGGCAGAGGGAGTAGCTCTGTCCCAGCATGGCTCCTGTGTGCTAAGGAACATGCTGTACCCCCACACCCAGCCTGGGATCCAAAGCAGGTCGGAGCACCCACACCCTCCGCAGGCTCATAGGCACCAGGAGTAATGCAAGGGCTGGCTCCAGCCCAGACCCCTCCCAAGGCTAGGTACCACAGCCTCTCCGGGGGGTGAAGGCTGACCTGTGGGGTGTGCCCCTCCTTTCCTAGTAACGCCAACCTGCACCACAGACCCCCACCCAATGGCCTGCGAGTCCTCTTCTCCCCCACCCTGACTACCTCCAGCAGGGGGCCAGGGCAGAGGTCCCTGGTGCCAGGGCAACTGCCACTGCCCAAACTCACCTGCTGGCCCCACTGATGCCAAGGAAAGTGAGTGCCTGGCAGAGCCGCTGCCAGCTCCAGCATGGGGCGGGGTGGGGTGTGGCAGAGAGGGGAAGAGGGAGCTGAAGTTAGCCGGCTCTTGTGCTGAGCCTTTAAGCGGATCTGGGCTTGGCTGCTGCAAGGGACAAGAAGCTGTGAGAGTCACTTACTGCGTGGGCTCTTCCCCGAGCGGGGCCTGCGCTTCCCTTGCTCCTCTCCTGGCTTTCCTGGGAGCCTCCCTACCCGCTGCTCATGACTGCAGAGCTAGCTCAGCTGCCCTGGCTCTGCAGGCAGGAAGGTGGGGTTTGGCCTGGCAGGATGTGCAGGCAGCTCAGATTGAGTGAGTTGGAGAGGAGGGGGAAGGGCAGGGCAGGGAAATTAAAGGCGCAGCAGCTGCTGTAAGGCTTTGGCCTCTTTCTTCCAGGCCTGGAGCCTTGCAGGAAGCCAGGCCCGCCCTTCCCTGCCTCCTCCCTCCTCCCCCAGGCAGGTTTGCAGTGCACCAGGGACAAAGAGAGGCGGCAGATCCTGCTCTCCTCTCCAGCTGCCTTAGGCCAAGACTCCTGCAGCAACAACAGCCTTTGGGGCATCAGTTAAAAGGATGCTTGCTCCAAAATGGAGGAGCCTGAGCTAGCAGTGGGGAGAGGCTGGCCCTGTGGGGGGGTCAGAAGAGGTCAGTGGGCCTCATCTTGGGTTGAAGAGAAAGCTCAGACCTGCCCAGATCCAAAAGCACAGGATCCAACCCTGGAGTGAAGGAGACTCCCCATCACTAGTACAGGCATCTGACACACAATGGGGTAGCCAGGAGGGGGCAGTGAGGTGAACCAAGGCCTTGGGCAGTCTTCTACCTGGCATGGTATCTTCATAGATTCATAGGTTCATAGATTAAGGGTCGGAAGGGACCTAGTAGATCTTCCAGCCCGACCCCCCGCCAGGGCGGGAGAACAACAAAAAACCCCAAAAAGAGAAAAGGGACTCAAACGAGTCCAGCCAGGTAGGCATCCAGCCTCTTCTTAAAGACCCCCAGGGTAGGGGCCAGCACCACTTCCCTTGGAAGTTGGTTCCAGCTCCTAGCCGCCCTAACCGTGAAGTAGTTTTTGCGGATGTCCAATCTATACCTCCTCTCCATCAGCTTGTGCCCATTACTCCTTGTTATGCCAGCGGGCGCTAGGGGAAACAGCGTCTCCCCCAAACCCCTCTGGTCCCCCCTAGTGAGTCTATAGACAGTCACCAGGTCCCCCCTTAGCCTTCTCTTGTGGAGGCTGAATAGGTTCAGGTCCCGCAGTCTCTCACTGTAGAGTCTGCCCTGTTGTCCCTGGATCATGCGGGTGGCCCTCCTCTGGACCCTCTCCATATTGTCCACATCCCTCTTGAAATGGGGCGCACAGAACTGGACACAATACTCCAGCTGTGGCCTGACCAGCGTCGCGTAGAGGGGGAGGATCACCTCCTTGGCTCTACTCGAGATGCACCTGTGGATGCACGACAAGGTCCGGTTAGCCCTGCCAACCATGACCTCGCATTGTCGGCCCATGTTCATCTTGGAGTCAATAATGACTCCAAGATCCCTTTCTGCCTCCGTGCTCTCGAGTAAGGAGTTCCCCATTGTGTAAGTGTGCTGCTGGTTCCTACTGCCCAAATGCAGCACCCTGCACTTGTCCGTGTTAAAACGCATCCTGTTCCTGTTAGCCCACCCCTGTAACCTATCCAGATCCCTCTGCAATCTCTCCCTCCCTGCTAGCGTGCTCACCTCCCCCCAGATTTTGGTGTCATCAGCGAATTTAAACAGGTTACTTTCCACCCCATCATCCAGATCGCTGATGAAGAAATTGAACAGCGCAGGCCCCAGGACCGAGCCCTGGGGGACTCCGCTACCCACCTCCCCCCAGGTCGAATATGACCCATCCACCACCACCCTCTGAGTGCGACCCCTCAGCCAATCTGCAATCCATCTGACTGTGTAGGCATCGATGCCACAGTCACCTAGTTTTTTAACTAGGATGGGGTGAGAGACGGTGTCAAAGGCCTTGCTGAAGTCCAGAAAGACTACATCCACCGCGACACCTGCATCCATGGCCTTTGTGACCTGATCGTAGAAGGCAATCAGGTTGGTCTGACATGATCTCCCCCTAATAAATCCATGCTGATTGCCCCTGAGCATCATTTCTGATGCCGGCCCATCACAAATGTGCTCCTTGATGATCTTCTCAAAGAGTTTCCCCAGGATTGAGGTAAGACTGACGGGCCTATAGTTACCCGGGTCCTCCCTCTTCTCTCTCTCTCTCTTCAGTGCGGTTGCAAACATTGTTCATTCCTCCCACCTTCCCCAAAGGAGACAGACCAGAAAAAACCTGTCCCAGGTTAGAGAAGGAAACAGAGGCACAAGTAGATTAAGTGAATCTGGAGTAGAAGCAGGAATATAACCCAGACTTCCCTGGATCCCACTCCCATGCTGCATTTCAAGAAGGATGTTGATAGACTCGAGAGAGTCCAGAGGAGGGCCATTGGTATGGTTAGGGGCTTACGGGACAAGCCGTATGGAGGAGAGAGTGAGGGACCTGGACCTCTTCAGCCTCCGCAAGAGAAGGCTGAGAGGTGATCTTGTGGCCGCCTACAAAGTCATTAGGGGGACGCAGGAAGGGATCGGAGATGCTCTTGTTCACCAGGGTGCTTCTTGGGGTAACAAGGAACAATGGTCACAAGCTGACAGAGAGCAGATTTAGGCTAGATATCAGGAAAAACCTCTTCACAGCAAAGGTGGCCAAAATTTGGAATGGGCTTCCAAGGGAGGTGGTACTCTCCCCTACCTTGGGGGTCCTTAAGAGAAGGTTGGATAGGCATCTGGCCGGGGCCCTCAATGCCAAGCAGCGCTCTGCTTGGCTTCCCTGTTCTCTTATAGACAGTGCAGGAGGTAAAGGACCCCACTTTTCTGGTTCCTGGTTTCTTATGCATCCCAAAATCCCAGTGCAAAAGGAGACTGGATAAGTCAGTTGTGGGCAAGTGCATGGCACCTAGAGTAGAAAGGGTGATCTTCTCATATAGGGGTCCTCAGGAGAATGCAGCTCTGGGCTGTGACCCCAATCCTGCCTCTCCCTGGCCTAGTCCTGTCCCTCCCTGGTCTAGTCCAACTGCAGCCCATGCTGCCTGGCCAGCCTGCTCCATCTCCCTCATCTGGGCCACACCAACCCAGCTTCCTCTTCTTCCCCTGCAATGAGCAATCAGATGCAAACAAAGCAAGCAACTGAAACAACAAGCTCAGGTGAGCTTTAAAGAAACACTGAGCAAGCAGCTTTCCATCTAGTCTCACCCAGTCACATTCCCTGGGACAGCACCCCTCATGCTCACCCAGCATTAGCTGCACAACCCTTCTGCATGCTCAGCTAACGCAGTCTCCCCCTGTATGCTGGCCCTAGCTGCTCACAGCTGCTCTGCAGCTTCCCCCAGCACTCCCATCCTACATAGACAACCTTGCCTCCATGCCCACAGCCACCTGCACCTTTGCTCCAAGCACACAGAGCTGTGCACAGCACCCTGTGCATGCTTGTACCATGAGGTGTTTTAAAGCACCACGCAAACCTGAAGTCACCGTGCCTAGCCCAGCTGGTGCAGGCAGCACACACTGCCATGACCCTTGCTGTAAGGATGTATGTTACCAAAGGGACTAATGCAGGAATATATTATTAACTGTTTAGTTTTAGTCAGTTCACTCCCAGTTTTTCCTGATCTGGTTCCTTGGAGGAGCATGAGGAGCTGGTGTGCACCTGGTGTATAGACTATATCCCTTGATAGGTTTGCACAGGCTTTGGTAGCATTCTCATTAGTAACATAAGAAAAGGAAGTCTAAATTAAATTGCTGCAAGGTGGGTGGATACTCATGCCAAAGAAGTTATCAATGACTCATAGTCTAACAGGGAAGAGGTATCTAGAAGGGCTCCAGAGAGGCCCATCCCCCTTCCAATACTGTTTGATATCTTCATTAAAGATTTGGAGCAAGGGGTAGAGCGCACACTCGGTACATTTGCAGATGACATCAAGCTGGGTAGCATTTTCAGACATTTTAGAGGAGTGGGTTGGAATTCAAAATGACCTCAGTAAGTTGAAAAACACAGCCTGAACTAATCAGATGAAATTCAGTAAGTACAAATGCAAAGTGCTTGTACTTCGAATGGAACAGTCAAATTACTACCTGCAAATTCATTCTGTTCATAGCATACAGCAAAGTAGTCTGTCACAGAAGCAAGATGCCCAGTGACCCTTTTACTAGCCACAGAAAGAGTGAGCAGTATGTGTGTGGGAAGCATACAGAGTAGCTTACCATATCTCCTACGTGTTTGGGCACAGCACCTCTTCTGTCTTCAGCAGAGCGTGGAAGGGAAGTTGGCTGCTGAGTGTTGGCGAACCACAGAGACCTTGCAGGGGGAGGCCTCCAAGCCTGAGGAAAGTGGCAACACTGGCTGCAGAGAACTATGAACTCACGGCAGGTGTGGTGCCGCCTCTGAGGATCTGGGGCTGCTCAGGGAGCCCAGGGATGGCAAGTGGCTCATGGGCCACTGGTTGGGGAAAATGGGCTAAGCAGGACTCCCAGGGACACCACAGCTGCCAGGCAATGGCTCCCAGAGCAGAAAACCCCATCCGGAGGGCTAGGGTGTGTTGGTTTGTCCATCCAGCCCTGGGGAACCCTGGTTTACCCCAAATCCAAGAGGCAGGAGGGCAGAAGACAACACTGGGGCCATCTGTAGTGGCAACAAAGGGTGGGCAGAGGGGCACAGTCCTAGGTGGAAAGCTGGAGAAATTCACCCCCCACCCCTGGCTCCCTGCCCCTCAAAGACTCCCCTCATTGGGGCTGGCATTTTCCCTGCTGTTCTGCCATGTGCTGCCCCTTCAACTTGAGACCTGCATCCCGGTTGCTGCATGTGCCTTTCCCTGCAGGCCGACTCTGGCTCCCACTGAAAGCAATGAGCATTCCCGTGCTGATCCAGTGGGAGCAGGATTGGGGCCTAGGTGCAGCCTCAGCACTGCAGCTAGCCAGACCGCCACACCACAGGGCACGGGGATGGCCCCTGTGCCTTTAAGAGCCTTGCCCTCTCGGCCTCCTTTTCTAGGGATGAGCAATTGCGTCTCTATCTGGAGCTGCAGCTCATGCTGAGTCAGATCTTAGCTATGCCTGGCTGGGGCTTGATGCCACACCCAGCTGGGCTGGGGGGAGAGGAAAGGCCCAGATCTGCTCCTGCCCAGGACAGGGCTTCACCAGGAGGGGCCAGGCTCCGCAGGGGGCAAGCCTGCTGGCAGGTGCAAGGGGCAGAGCAGCCAGGGGCAGACCCTGTACCCTGCAGCCTGCCAGCAACACACAAGCCTACCCAGTGGCTGATCCGTGAGTGCCCTCTGCTGCCACAAGCTTGCATTCACTAGCCCCAGACTGAGGGGCTTGTGAGGAGCCGTGTCCCCAGCCCTCAGGCAGGATTTGCCCTGAACCTAGAGAACATACAGTGCAGCTCAGAGGAATACTGCTTTGCGGAGGCATCCAACTCATCCACTCCCCCCAAGGCTCTCCTAGGCCCTTTTGCCTGGCCCGCCATCCCTGCGGTGGCAAAATACATGATGCAAAGGGGGCACTGTCCCCTGGAAAAAAAAAAAAATCACCCCATGCTGTTTTGTTCAGCCTCCCTGCACCCCACGTCTGTTCTGGAGCTCCCCTCTGCCCAGCACACAATGCCCTAATGCCCGTTCTCCTTCCCTCTTGCTCATCTGAATACACCGCTGCCTTGCCACCGGCTCTACTTCTTCCCTGACTGTAGTGCTGCCCCCTGGCACCTCTCTCCTTCCCCACCCCCTATATCATGGTATCCCCCTGGAAGGCTTGGTAGCCAGATCTGCTCCTTGCTTCTTTTACTGGCTTTTACAGGCCTAAAGGAGAAGCCCAAGGTTTCTCTACAGCTCTACAGACCAGAGCTTGCAACCTGCTTGGCTTAAACAAGGGAAGCCCCAATGAACCCTGGGCTGAGGCAGGCCACATGGCCTGAAGTTCCCACACTGTCTGATATTCTTTCCCTATCAATCAGTCACTTCAGGGACCCAACCAACTCCGTTATAAGGGTCTGCATCACCTGCAATGCTTTCAGCTGCAGGACTATCCTGTAAATGTGCCTGTGCAGAGGTGGGCTCCTGCTCCCAGAGCAAGGAGGTGTGATGGTGCCAGGCTGTGGTGACCAAGGTCTGTGAAGCAAGCTGGTCTGCAATGAGACCAAGCAGCTCCGCTTGCAAGTTTGGCCGTTGAGCAGCGCTCCCATGTTGTCACGGGTCACTGCTCACCTGGGAGGTGGCTGGCACCCTAGTGCAGAGACTCCTCCACATGTCACCCCCATCTCCCTGCAGGAGGTGCAGGAGTAGCTGCCAATCTCCCAACCACTGGAGAGAGGAGAGCAAGACTTGGGGAAACCTGGTATCACAAAACCAAGCCTTCAGCCTGAAAGACAAGGCCAAGTCTACCACAGCTTGGCACTGAACCTTTCACTGCCCCAAAAGCATCCAGTGGAAGCAGCGCTCTGGCCCCAACCCAGAGGCTGCAGGCCAGGTGGGTGCTGTTTGAGAAGAAGGTGGGAAGTAGGACGAGGAACTTCTCCCTCTGGCTGCACTGAAAGTGTGCGAGTGCCAAAGCAGTGCCTGGGGCTGCCAAGCATAACAGGTGGCCTGAGCACTGTACCTAGGCTCCTGGCAGCCCCAGGCAAACTTTTAGTATTGGACCCCCCTTCGCCAGAGATGAAGATAATAATAATAAAAAAATTACCATTTTTGGGTCCCTTTTCTGTCCCAGCCCCAGGCAGCCACCCAATTTACCCATGCCTGCGTGCTGCCCTGGGTAGCCTGGTCAGCAGGCCGAGGGCTGAGAAGGGGATTGAGACCACAGCAGCAGAAACTGGAGGACAGTGGCTTAGCCTCACAAAAAGAAAGTGGTTTGATGGGGACACCCTACCGGCCACTCCCTGGAGGCCTCAGTCCATCTTCTCTCAATAATCATATCTTGGAGCCAGATCACAGGCTATGACCGTACATGTGGGAGCTGAGGCTGAAGCTGGGCTCCCACCACCCTTCCCCACTGGTATTGGGATGTTACCCCATCAACAGGCTGCCCTGTCCCCATAGGTCAGGCACTGAGAAAAGGCAGCCTGCTCCATGCTGGTGCCACAGGACTTTGGCTACAGGCACCATCCTGAAGCTCCTTGAATACTAGAAGGGCTGTTTCCAGACAACACAAAGGCTGAACTCACCTTTACCTCCTACCACCCAGTCGAACACTAGCTTTTCTCCCCAGACCCTTGCTTTGTAAGGCATAAAGACCTGTGGGAGCTGGGACAGAGAGAAATTGAATTCAACAGCAAGGCAGAGACAGAGCAGCAGGCAGCACCTTGGGCTGGAAAGCCTCACTGAGAAGGAATCAAGAATCCAGGTTGTGTCTGGGATGGAGCAGCATGGTCTGTCCTGGATACGTAGACTGAGTAATGGTTAAAAAGGCCTTGGAGCATGTGTGACTTCAAGCCTGTTTTGCTTTCTGACAGCACTCAGTGCGCTAACCAGGGGAAAACAAGGATCATTGCAGCTCCACAGGCAGGGAGTTAGGGCAAAGCTTGGTTTGTTTTAAGTAGAAACACCCCTCAATGCACACACGCATTGTGCTCATGGCTCCAGGTCTCAGCTCTGGTAGACCTTATCTTCCCACAGGGTGCTGGAAGCTCTTGGGCCTGGCTCCCAGCAAATCTCTCTTCCCCTGCACCCTGGCACACCCACGGTGTCTTTTCCACCACGACCAACCCATTCCAACACAGAGACATGGCAAATATGACAGGTTCCTTTTTTTTTTTTTTCTTTCTTTTTTACACAAATATATACAAGGTATTATACACATCTCTACACAGACACAGTGCCAGTTAAAACACAGCTCTCTGCAGGGAGTGCCCAAGGTCTGTGCCCAACAGCCACTGCCACCAGCATGGGCAGCCCTGTGCTACAGCCATATGTACAGGGTGACTGATGCCATCCCATCACCCTGTGGGGGAAAAAGAGATGTAGGGGAGGTGAGCATGGCGATAAGGAGCCATGGACCAGAATGTCTGCTCCAGTCTAGATCCAGACCAGGAAACCCTTCATAAGGGAGCTGGTCTCATTTCTAGTCTGTCCTGGGGAGAAAAACAATCAAGGAAAACCCCCCCCCCCCGTTTGTTTTGGCAGTGAACTCTAGAAGAGTGGAGAAGGCAGCAGTAGTAGTGGTAGCCCCTGGACCTTGGCTAAAACCACAGTGGGAGAACATGCTCCAGCCATACTGTGGCTGCTTGGTTTACAGTGAGCCAGGGTTTGAGCTCCTTGCTCCCATGCCTTCCCCCAAGCAGGGGGCAAATCCTGCTGCTCCCCATGCCCATCTCCTCTGGGGCTGGCATGCCAGTCAGATGGGAAGAGTGAAACAAGGACCTCTAGGCCCTATTGTGGACTGTGTGACTTTGGACAAGTCCCTTGCCTGCTTTCTGCCATTTTCCCCTCTGTAAGAGTGGGCGGGGGAGGATCCTGACCACCCTCTCCACACTGGGGAAGGCTGCGATGTCTGGTACATCAACATGGTGCACGTGCAGCGCTCTGCAGAAATACCCAACAGCTCATTCAGCGTTAGCTGGTGTATCTCCATGCAGCACCGCAGCATGCCTGGCAGCCGCGCCCTTTGTTCACGAGCGTCTATAAAGTGTTTCCAGCTCCTGGATAGTCAAGGACCAGAGCAGATTGCAATTCCTGCCTCCAGGACCTTTGGTTCAGCTGCAGTCCACTGGAGCAGCGCCCTCCAGAGACAGGCAATAGGCAGCAAATGGGCAACGAATGGGCTAGGCAGAGGGAAGGGAAAATAAATACAGCTCCATAATAAGGAGATCTACTTTTTTTTTTTTTTGTCCATCTTTACATTTTACCCATTGGGCAGAGAAGGGAGAAAACCCCAGCTAACAACCCCTTTCTTCCTGCTCCCAGCAGAGCCTAGGGCCAGGGCCAAGTCTCAGGGGGACTGAAAGGGAATCCAGCAATTGTCCTACATACACTCTCTGATCCTTCTGCCTCCAAATCTTACCTTTCAGTTGCTTCCTCCACACACCTTCACCTCATCTCCTGAGAACCCCCTCTCCACCCTTCTCTCAGGACTGCTGATCCTTCAGCCCTCTCTCTACAGGGGGGAAATGGCTCCCTCTCCAGCCTGTAAGGTGCTGGTGCCCTGGTGATTCTGGGGGGAAGGAGGTTCCCGTGACTCCCCCTGCTCTGCACTTCCCACACTGCCAGAGGAGCAGAGGCTCAGGCAACCTCCTCCTGGCACATGTGCTGTGCTGCATAAAGGGCTGGGACAAAGTTTTGGAATATGGCCAGAAGCCAGTGCAGTCTTATGGGGCCTTGGTGCTGGGAATCCTGTAGCAGCATGGCCAACAGCCAGGTTCACTGGAAAAGGGCATAAAGCCCCTGGGGCTGCAGACACTCCCATGCCTAGCACAATAGCCATGGGCAACAAGAGCTGCCATATGCAGCCAGGGACCAGATGCTCAGGGTGACACTGTATAATGCCCAGCAGAACTAGGGCCAGCCCCAGTGCTTAGCAGTTCTTGGGGCTCAATGGTCCACCCCTTCCCCACCTGCCACCATAGCAGCCAGGGATACTGAACCCTGGTTGACCCTCCCTGCTCTGGGCCTGGCTGTGCACAAACAGGATGCCCGGGGGCCAATGGCTGCAGATGGGTGACAGGAATTTTTATTTTAAAGGGTGAGGGGGTGTGGGGGGTGGGGAAATAATAATGTGCAAAAAAAATGCCACTTAAAACAACGCCACGTGCGCCAGTGTGAGCCCCCATCGCGGCCCTGCCGGGGGAGGGCTGCCTACAACTCTTCAGCTCCAGGCTGGCTGGCATGAGCGCCCATGCCAGCCCCCAGTGCTCCCCTCACCCTGCGAGGGGCTCTTCCCTGCTTCCTTCACCACTCAGACCTGCTCTCCAGCCACCGCTGAGCCCATATGACTTTCGTTGGGTGACATCCGCTCCCCCTCCCCACCGCGACTGTAATCGACGCACCACCTCAAGGCTGACTATGCAGGGAGGGCCAGTTGTACCATGCTCTCCATTACCTGCTGGGGCCTGGCCCCGAGTTATTCTGATGGGTTCCTTGCAGGCCCGCACTGCCGTCCCTGGGCCGGGGAGGGGAAACATACGGGTGAGACACAGATACAGGGGCAGAGGGCAGCTCCCCACAAGGATACTGCTGTTGCAGCCAGGACACTGTGCCGCCTGCTAGGCTCACAGCTGCCTGCTGCCCACTGGGGTTTAAATATCATGATTAAAGCTTTTTTTTGTGTCTTGATACCTAATAAATTATTAGTGTTTGCGATTCTGGACGGAGGACAGAGGGAAAGGTCCCTTCCCTGAGTCCCCACAGGAGACCGGAGACGCCCTCCCCCCTGTCGCCCCTCCTGCCCCACCCTCAACACTTGCCCCCACCAAGCATCCAGGCTTCTGCTGCCCCCGTGTCTTCTTGCCCTGAGGGACAGAAGGCAGCGGGGGTCAGAGTCCTCTTTCTTCCCCACCCTATTTCCGGGGTCTCATGGTCTCGATAAGTGTTAAAGATGGTAACTAGTAAGAGCAGGTCCCCTCTCATCCAGCAGCGAGCGAGAGGGACTGGGATAGGGTGGGGGAGGCAGGGCATGGAATGGAGAGTCTGAAGTATGGGTCGCTTCCCCCTCTGAGCGAGCATTCGTGCAGTGGCCCAGGTGGGCGGGTAGAGGGGGAAGAGGCTGGTATCTTCCTTGCGATGCTCCTCACTCCATTCAGTTTACTATCTCCCTCTCTGTGTGTAGCAGCTTCCTCGGCTCCTGGTCCTTTCCTGCCCCTCCCACCCTCCGCGGTCCTACTGGTGGATCTCATTCTCTATCAGGCTGTCCTCGCACGACTGGAAATCCGTGTCGTTCATGCCGTCAGGGTTGATGAGCTCCTCATCCTGGGACCCCTGTTCCTCACACTCCGCCACGTCGCTCTTGGGCGAGGAGTCCTGCAGCACCTGGGCAATGTACTTCTGCTGCAGAGGGAAGGGAGAGAAAGGGAGTGGAGGGGAGAATGCACACCGCCCAGTTAGCTTTGCATACTGCTGTAGGAAACTCAAAGCAGCAAAGCATGATGAGTAGGCACCATGCAGGCATGCAATGGGCTGCTGAGGCTGGAGAGAAACTCAGACTGCACGGAACATGTGAGATGGGAGGAAGGAGGGGAAGATGAGTGGCTAGACAGTGGCTGGGCAGGCAGAAGGGGGATGTTTCCAGCCTGGTTCAAGTTCATTACAGCAGAACCTAGAAATATCAGGGATCAGCAGAGCCCTCCTGAGGACCCAGGGGCGGGGGAGCTTGGAACTTGCCAGACTCTGGGCTCTTCAGGACTGAAAGATGAGATTTGTTTCAGAGGGTAGGTACCCCCAGTACTTCTTGAAATCTGAGCCCTTCTAAGGTGGCTCAGCAGGGCGCCCAAATCCCCCTACTCCCTTTGTATTCCAGGGTGAGCCAGGGGTCCAAGAACAAAGCTGCAGCTGCAGGAAAAGCATCCAGCCCTTTTCTAGTTCCCCCACTATTTACCCACAGAATAAAATCTGGATGCTGCAGACATGGAGCCAAACTCAAAATCCACTCCTTGCCACACATCTCCCTATGTATCACTCAGAGTAGAGACTGCCCCTCTTCTCCCCAGCACAGAAGTCCTCAGTTGTGGGGAGTGCCCACTGGGCACAGAAGTGGAGCAGCTGGCTTCTTTACTATCCGCATGGCACAGCAAGTGGGAGAGGTGCTGGAGTGTGCTGCTGCTCAGCTGTGCCTGGCTGGGAGATGGTCTCCTGGAATCCATGGCCAACAGGCTTCAGTCAGAGCAGCCCCCAGGAGGCTTCAACATATAAGGTGGATGAGGCAGTCAGGGGATTATGAACTAGCATCCCCTCTCCACAGATGACTCCCATACCAGACAATCTGATCCTAAAGGAAGCCAGCTGTAGCATGGCTAGTGAGCTCAGGAGAGACTTAAAGACAAGAAGACAGATGTAGGGAGTTCAGTTCTGAGAGAGCTTAGGGGTGGGGAGGCAGGGGCAAGAAAGGGGAGAGCCTCAAAGCTGCAGATGAACAGAAGTGTCCCCCCCCGTGGCCTCCACGGGAGACTCCCATGGAATCCATCTGTGTTGGCATGTGACACTGCCAGCCCCAAATGTGCTGATGGGTGAGAGCCAGGAAGCAAAACAGAAAGGAAAAACTGACCGGGTCCAGTTTCATTGTCCCAGCTGAGAGAGAGGCAGGAAGTGAACAGACAGCATCAGGGGGGCAGAGGGGAGGGGGCATTTGCCATTCATCGCTTCGCCTGGGGCAAAGCACGTGGGGAAGGTCATTCTCCTCTGAGCCTGGCTTGCATCTCTTGCACGTTGCCTGGGAAAGGCCAGGCAGGGGGCACTTGGGCAGGGGTAGAGGACGTGTGCAGGCCCCTTCCCCCTCCCCAGACCCGGCCAAGGAGGAAGGTTGAGTGCTTGAAGACTCACAGCAGATTTGGGAGCTGGTGGGTTGGCAGTTGGTCGCCCGTTCTCTCCCCCATCCATGGTGTCTGCCTCCGTGTGGTCAATCTGGGGAGTCAAGATAATGACATGGAGACAGGGCTGTCCCACTAGCCCTGCTGCCTGCTGGCCATAAGGACTGGTTCCTGCAATTGGGGTTGTCCTGGGACATTTACCTGAGCAGGGAGCTGGGACAGAGGAGCACTGCTTGGCAACAGGGACTGAGAGCCCAGCTCTTGCAAGTCCTTTCTTTAGGGTTATGCAGCTCAGAGGCTCTGCAGAGGGAAGAGGCCCCTGCTCTGTCTGAGATGTCACTGCAGGCTCAGGTCATCATTTGTTCTTACCCCCACCATGACAACAATGAAAGTGGCTGTGGGATTAGGGGGGAACCCTATTTCAGCTGCACCCACCTACACATGGGAGAGTGGAGCAGGAGAATAAAAACAAGAAAGGCTGTAGCTGAAGGTAAGGGCCCAGGAAGGAGCTCCCCAACATGTAGTCTTGACATAACCCTTTATTACCCACTCCATCCTCATCCCAAGCCACTTTTTCCTCCTTCCATGCTGTCTGCTCCCTCTGCCCAGCATCTCAGCACCTTACCTTGTAGTTGTGAGCGCTGAGGTATTTGAAATGCCCAAAGCAGACATGACACAGGCAGATCACGATGGTGATCACGAGAACCACAAAGGTGAACATGGACGTGGGGGCCAGGAACCCTGAGGGAAGCAGAGGATCACACAGTCAGGGTCCCACACAGCCAGCATGCAGACCAGCAGGCCCCCTCCAGCCTCCAGGGGAGGCCGTGGCTCTGAGCTCAGCTCACTGTGTGTGCGCATGTGCTGGGTGTCGATGAGTCCCTGAACTCACTGGCCCAGTCAGGCTGAGCATGGGACAATAGTGATTCAGTAGTTCATTCCCCTGCTGGGCCCTGCCCCAAACCCTGTGCCTACCTGTGCGCATGGTGGAGAAGAAGAGGAGCCAGAAGAGACAGAGGATGGGTGCAGCCACCACCTGGTTCACAGCCCCCGAGTGGATCTTCTTGTCCAGCTTGGCTGGCAGGTAAGCATAGTACAGGTTGTACCTATCAACCAGGTGCTTGAGAAGCATGTACATCAGCCCTGATGGAGAAAGACAGAGGAGGAGGAGAGTGTCAAAGAAGGGACAGGTAGGCTCCAGGCTTGGCAATAGTAGTGGCGGTGATGAGAGATTAGGGCACTTGCTCAGAGGGGTGGAAAGTAACACCCAAGAGAGGATCTTTTTCAACCAGTTGGATATGGGATCAATGTGCAGCCAAGACGCTGCTTTCCATCCTTATATGGCAGATGCGTGTGATGGGGCCTGTAACATGACCCACCACAGCAGCCCAGGGACTCCAGTATCAGCTGAACTGGATGACAAGGCAGGTGACACACTGCATGTGTACATGCTGACTAACCATCGAGCAGGGATGGCTCCCAGGGTAACAAAGGGAAGTACTGCCTGCTGGTAAAAGCCTCTTGAGCCGAGAGGCTGAGGAGAAGCTAGCTTTTATCATCCCTTGTCAGAGCAGAAGCCCCTTTCTGCTCCAGCCAGGAGAAAGCCCAGCTTGTGGCCAGCCTGGCTGACAGTCTCACTGTGGCCACTGGTGAGAAGCGCCTCCTGGTGGGGAGCTCAGGGATCAGATCTCTTCCTTGCCTTGTGCAATACAGAAGAAACAGCATCAGCGCTTGGGTAGAGACTCTTGCTAGTAACTTGCCTGTCCATCAGTTGCACTCACTGTGAGCTTTCCTGCTCTCTGCCATGCCCACAACGCAGCATCAGGATCAAGTGAAACTGCCCCTTGACAGGAACTTCAGGCTAAATGTCTCCCATCTCCCCTATCTGCTTTACAGATGGGGCTGCCCTGCTTCAAACATGGGAGAAGCCTCCTCCCCTGCCTCTGGGCTGGCAGCCCTCCTCCAAAGGGTCTGGGCACCACACTGTGTCACTTACCAAAGGGGACGATGATGGGGCAGGTGATGCTGTAGGTCATGACCACAGTGAAGACACACATCATCCAGGCGTAGGCAGCGCCAAATTGGAACTCGTACGCCTGGTGCTGTGAGAGAAAGCAGAAGCCATCAGTCATAGTGTGCTGCACTGAGCCATGTCCAGGAGGCAGGGTCATGCATGTGTGTGTGTGCACACTAGCGTGTGCGTGCTGACCAGCACCCTAAGGAAGGGGAGCGTGCACATTAGGGAACATGCATTTACACTACCCTGAAGTTGCCTGTTCAAGTCCAGACAGATGGCCAAGCCTGTCAGCTGATGCCCTACAACACCGACTACACTCACCCTAGGAAGAGCTGTGGGCATCACCTGCTCTTCCTGACAGTGCATGGCAGCAGACTGCCTCCCTAAGCACCAGCATGCACCTGGGTGAGCCTGTAGACTGAATGCACTTCCTTGCATGTATCTAGATGTGGGGGTACAAGCTAGCATGTGTTGGTGCTGACAGGAATACATACGGGTCACTGAGCAAATGCCTGATGCATGTGCAAGGTAGTCAGGGCAGATTCCTGAGCACCGCACCCAAAGCACCCAGGGTCTGAAGTGGGCACATTCTTGTCCTGGGCTCCACCACATACCCGCTTGACGTTTCTGCGCTCAGCTGCTGAGCGGGCCAGGCACAGGCGGATCATGTACATGAGCAGACCAGGGATACGCAGCAGATCCATGGCATTCCCAATGAAGGCAGAGGCGATGACATAGTTCACAAAGAAGGCCCCATTATCTGGCAGGAACACACACCTGTGGGAGAAAGGGAGCAGGGAGAGTGGGAACAGTGAGAGCTGATCATTTTGAACTTGAGCAAGGGGGGCACCAGCACTGTAGGCTTGGCTGGCAGTTGGAGGAGAGGGGAAGGCTGGGTTGAGTCAGACAGGACAGGGAGGAAACTGGCTGGGGCAGGCCCTGCTGTCCCACTGCAGAGAGGTTGCTCTGACTCTGGTTGTTCTGCTTTGAAGGAAGCTGGTCTGGTGGTTTGCACCAGGGCAGAACTCATTTAAATCAAATAGATTTAAATTGTGATTTAAATCACCTCCAGAAGGCCTCAATCTAATCACTGTTTTCTACAAAAAGTGCATCCTTGTTGTTTGATATCCTCTATTCATTGAACTTCTTGAAACTTTGTACTTTTAGAGAGAGGTAAGGGTTTGACTGTGAACACAGACTTGCAGAGAGACAACAGTGCTGATGGGTAGGGAATCAGGTCTCTTATCTCTCATCTCCATATACATGCCATTAACAAGGATGTTATTTCTGGAGACAAAAATCCACAGTTTCAAAACTGAAACTAAGCATCACAGAGATGGTTAACGGGATCTTCTAGACTGAGCACTGAGACCCATTGGGTACACTGGTTTTATTCAAACTTTACTAATCTACAGAGGAGCCTCTGGGAGCCCCATAAGTTTGGGCCCCTAATATAGCCCATGGACTGTTGTGACCTATTTATAAAACATTTCTAAAAAGTGTATGTAAATATATGGTCTCAAATAGTATATAATTAGAAGTTACAATCCCTATTCCATGATAATATCTTTGAGTTCTAACATGTCTTAAATTAAAACTGTATTTATATAGGTTTCTTTTTTTATAAAAAGCATCTTAAAAAAATCAAAACAGTGCAATGAAATAAAAAAAATTTGATTTAAATAAAAAAAGTTGGGTTTTTGGATTTTTTTTTCCATCATTTATTTTTAACCACCTCGGTTTCCACACAGTGACAAACAAGCCAGACTCACTCGGTTTCCTACCAGGAAGAAACCTGGCTAGAAAGGGCCAGTCTGTCACTCCTAGAACAGGGTTGCCAATGTTCTGTAAATTTATGGACACCCTCTAAATCACAAGACTTGCCTCTTCATAAAATCTGTAAAAAATTCTGCTGTGTAAAAATCCAAAGCCAGTAGAGCTGATTGAAGCTCTGTGATGGTAAAGAAGCTGAAGGCAGTGCTGAAGCACAGACAGAGCACAGCCGCACCACTTCATATCTGCAAAGAACAGCAGCACCCTGAAGGGAACTCTTATAAAAGCTTTATGGCTCTTGGGACTCTATCTCTTTCCTCAACCCCCAGACATAGGATGCATGAGCAGCAGCACATCTGTCTGTAATACTGCTCAGTGGCTTGAAGGTAGACAGCTCTTCTTTTGAAGTCTGTGCTAGAATGGGGGCATAGGGTTGACAGCATGGTGTAGTCAGGGGGTATCAGGATGTGGGGAGTGAGTACCCTCCTGGGGAGGTGGCAGTAGGGTATAAAACCACTTCTGCAGTTGAGTAAGGTTGTCAGACCAAGATTTTTTTTTTTTTCCTGATAATTTGCAAACTTTTTACTGACAACCCAACTTCTTTTTACTATGGTTGGTGCTGAACCCTGAATTTGAGCCCAGTCCTTGTCCAGGGACTGGCAGAGGGGTTATGCTGATATTATGAAAATATATGTCATTAAAGAAGTTTGGTCATCAGTAAAAAAAATTGTCTGGCATTGGCAACCTTGTTCTAGAAACACTGTAGTCTCTGGAAGGCCTTGTAGATATGTACAGCCCTTCTCCCGGCAGGAGGCACTATAGAGAATGAGGCAGAGGCACCTGTCAGGAAGCTCCCAGTTATTCCAGCCCCTGCCTCCCCCAGCAGGTGTTGCTGTAAGGAACAGGGCAGGGGCAATGCCTGGAGGCCATTTCACAGCAAGGCACAATTACAAGGACGGGGGGCCCCCTTCAGGACATCACTTACTCAAACCGCACAGCAGCATCTGCCAGGAATTTTTTGTCAAACAGCCAACGGAAAAACAGATCCAAACTAGGGAGAAAAATCACAAAACAGAGAGCGCAACATGAGCACATAACTGTTGGGAGAGACAGGAGCAGAGTGGCCACAGGTCCTCATGGGACCTGCTAGCATGAAGTCAAGACACAGGTCCCTGTCTGAGGAAGTGGGTCCGTGCTTGCTTCCCGGGGGTTCTGCTGCCTCCTTCCCCTTTCTAGCCAGCAGCCTGGTCATTATGGAAGAGGAGGGTGTGTTGGAAAGAGGCCTCTAACTGTTTTGGGCTATCCATCTTGCTCCTTCACCCTCTGCAGGGAGCTGATAGCTCTATCTGCTGCTATTCCCTCCTGACCCACGTGGCCCTCTTTTTATTTATTTATTTTTTTAAAAACAAAACAGCAATAAAACAGGAAGCAGTTTTCACTCAATCGATCTAATACACAATGTGATGAAAGCCCTGGCTATTATTGTGTATCGATGTCCCATTATGTGTGCAGGCAACTGAAGGTGAGGTGAGGAAGCAGCAATGTCACTAGTTGGAGGACGTGCATTGAAGCTGGAAGAGCAGAACTAGGAGGTACAGTGAGCAATCCCATAGCTCTTTTAGAGGAGGAATATGTACAAATGCATACATGTACCCCCCAAAAGAGAAAATAATACTGAGATTGCCTTAAAAAAGAGCTGAGGGAATTTTTTGCTGCTTGTTGTGTCCCTTAATACAGCCCCGATTCTCTTGCTCTGAGACATATCAGTAGCTTGCATTCCCTGTGAATCTGAGAGCGGCTCAGTCACAAACAAGGCTTTAAAGTTATTTCAGGTGCTGTCTATTCCCATGCACCCCCCACCCCACTCCAATCACATTTTCTTGTTTTTGAAACCTTTTTTCCTCCTCTGTTGCAGGGTGAAAGGTTCATACAAAGGGCCTGGATACATAGCATGTCAACAGTGGTGACCTGCCTTTATTCTGGTGCAAGTAAATAGGTAACACATGACAAACTGCTTTAGGCTAGTGGCACTTACTAGAATCTGGCATAGTTATCTCAGAGGGAAAAACAGTGGTAAAATATAGTGGGGAACATGATGTGATATCTGCAAGGGCATTTGCTCAATGGAAGCAATATTTTTCCCTCCTACTTTCCTAGTGGCAAGGTCGAGGACAGAGTTTGCCCCTACACTTCACTTCTAACAATATCAGGTAAAAAATTCTCAGAGAAGCACTACATATACACACATGCATACACACACACACACTTTTAACTGATAGGGTCATTTTAAAGAAGGCCCTCTTTTAGATCACACAGAGACTCAGAAACAGTCAGGTATTTTTAGATCCTGCTGTAGAACATTTTTGTTGAACTGACATGTTCGGATAAAGGGCATTTTTTTGTGGCCATCAAAGGGCCAGCCTATGCTCATGAGCAGCCTGACTCAGCTGTCAGCTTGGCATGTCCTTGTCTCCATTCAGAGGTCAGCAGAGATGCTGACTGTCAGCTTGTGGTTCTTCCCCAAATAGAGATGGAGGCAAATGCAGTAAGAACAGCGCTGTGATTTTCCTTCCCTCTTCACAGCCCTTTGTAATTACACTTAGTCCCTCTCTATGGCAGCATGGTCTGTTTTTGAACTTTCTGATGTTGACAGCTTATGCTGATGGCAGGCAGCTGGCAGGAAACATTTAGCAGAGGCCTTATGAGAATTTCCAGGTGGTATTCACATGAGGCCCCAGGGCTTGGGTTCAGGTGAAAAAAGCACCTTGGAAATATGTTTTTTCCATAGCAACCTGTGATGAGGCCAATTGACACCCTGTCTATACCTGGCTACAAGGAGTTCACCTATATGGGGCACAGTCCAAATTAAGAATGAATTTATTTATGAGGGGGTAATTAGGCAAGATTTAAACACTGTCAGAACAGAGTGTGAGTAGCTACCTGCCACAGTGCCAGAAACAGAGCTAACATAGCAAGCCACAGGACTGTCTGGCACCAGTTATCACTCTGAACTCAGGGGGAACAATTTCTGTAGGGAAGGCAAGAGTCTGATAAGAGCCAGAAGGGCTGTGCCCCACAGTGATACAGGACATGGGTTTGTATGAGAGCACTGTTTGCCCAGTGTTCCAGGGGGCTCTGGGTTCCTGGATGTGCCCTTCTTTCCCTTCTCCCTTACCTGCTCAGGCCCAGGGAAGGCAGTAGCAAGACCATGAAGATGAGGAAGGTATAGCACTTGTGCATGGTTGTCCTGTTCTCTCCAGACCTGAGAGCAGAGATAAGGCAGTTAGCAGGGACCTGGGAGATCCCCCAGGAAGACAATTACATGCAACTTAGGTACTTACAATGCACCTTTCAGGCCCCTTCAGTATCGGTCTGTTGTACTACATGGCTTGCCCTATCCTGCCTGAATATTCTTTCCTCTTTTAATATATGTATTCTGACAACACCCATGAGGCAGGCTACTACTTTTCTTGCCATTATCATCACTCCTGCATTACCAGACACGTGGGGCACAGACAACCTAAGAGACTTGCCCAGGGTCACTTCAGCAGTCCGTTGCAGAGCACAAAGCTGGACCCAGGTGAGGGGAAGGTGGGAAATAGCCACTGGTTTGTTGATTTTTTTTGGGGTTATACATGTGCCTCAGTTTACCTGTGATACCAAAGGAGACTGTGCTGAGGGAGTCCTCAGGAAATGAAAGGATGGCAAAGAGAAGGTACAGAGTACAGGTTGCCCTGGCTTCACTGGAGAAATAAAATAGGATACCCCTTCCCTGGCTCCAACTAGATTAGCAAAGTTTACTCTTCTCAGGCTGAACCCCTCATGCCCAGGGGACCAGTGCCAATGGTTTTTGAGGGGCCTTCCAGTCCTATGCTCCTGAACAAGGGAAATGCACCAGCTTCTAGGTTGCTCTAAAGCAGATGGAGGTGGGACATGGGCTATCAGCACCTGCTGGGAGGTGGAGAAAGAGGTGGAAAGAGACACATGGAGGAGGGAGAGAGTGCAGCAAGTGGTCTGTCTCTCCCATCCCAGAGGTGAATGAAACCTGCCAATGCTACAAAGAAAGAAAAAGGGGAGAGGAGGAAAAAAAAGCATGGGATTCTTTAAAATTGTTCTCCTCCCTCCCGTTTTGCTCCAGGTGCTATGTGCCCTCTGGGCATGAATGAATAAATAAACAATGTTTTGTTTGGAATAAGCTGTTTCAGAGTCATAAATCAGCTGCTGGCACAAGCTCCCAGAGGCAAAAGTCTCCAAGTGCCAAGCACAATTGGGCCTGGTGAGGTGACAAGGCTGCAAAAGGGAAGGGCTGACACCTAGGAGCTACACCTGGGAGAGGTCTGACTGGAGGGTTTTGCCTGCAGAGAGAGGGGCAGGAAGCCAGGTATGTCGTCTGAGCAGTACACTAGAGGTGGGGGGCAGATTAAGGAGGGAGGGGTTGGGAGCTGCTGGAGCTTGACCAGTTTACGGAACAGAGTACGTCACACAGTTGCCTGCGACAGCAGGGGACTAGACTCTATGACTCAGTCAGTCCCTTCCAGCCCTGTGCTCTTAGAAGTCAACATGAACATGGTAATAACAATGCTTAGCATGGCAGCAATGCCCCAGGCTTAGGCTCCAGAAAGGAGGCTTGCTAGGATAGCTACTGCAGCAAAGTTCTCCTAGTACCAATGCAGCTTGGGCTGACAGGAACCATCCTTCTGTCAGGGGAACCTCTTTCAGTTGGGTGAGCGACATCAGCTGAGCTACTTCCCTGCTTTGGTGCTATAGAAACATCACCCAAATCTACACTTCTAACCCCCAGCACTATCCTGGCTATCCTCCTGAGCATAGCTGGCTTAATTCACTCTTGCCCATCTCTTGTGGGGGGAGGGGAGAGAGGCTAGACTTACATTCCCCTTTAAGACAAGTGGGGAAGCTGAGGTTCTAGAAAGGGATGAACCCTGCCCATGTCACACCATAAGCCAAGAGGCAGAGCTGAGACCATAGCTCTAGAGGTCTTGACTCCTAGTCCTGTGCTCACATCATGAAGCCACACTTCTTGTGAGTCATCAGCAAATATCTCAGCTCTGATGGGATGAGCTGTACAACTTATGGGGAACCAGCCAGGCAGCTGCGCAAGCTTATGGGAGAAGCAGATGAGAAAAATAGAAAGTAGACCAGGGTCAGGCACAGCTAATTCCCGGGGACAGAAATACAGAATAGCAACCATCACACAAGTATGCACACCATCCCAGTCAGCCAGAACCCCCTGGCCTTTGCAACCCTCCTTGGAGCACAATCTTTTCATCTAGCTGCTGATGGGCAGCTACCTCTGAGGCTGGGGGTGGGGGGTGTCCAGCAGCTGTTTACCAGTTGTGTCTTTCTGTACTGCAGGTCAGGAGGGGAAGTGAAATTGCAGGGGGAATGCAGGTGGGAGGACAGCACTTCTGGGGCTTGGACTCTGGCTCTTGTGTAAAGTGCTGGGCACAGCCAGAATCCAAACTTAGGAATGCCTAGTGACTCTCCTTACCTGGTCCAGTGGGCTTCGAAGAAGGCAGAGTAATACACGATAGTTGGCAGCAGAGCAGAGAAGCACCACAGCAGCAGGGTGGGGAAGAACTGGGTGATGATGGGGTTCTGCAAAGAGAAAGGACCAGGTGCTTGTTCTGGTTGATGTGGATTTCAGGGCTGGGTACAGCAATGGGCAAGCCTGCTACAATTTCAGTGGCAGAGGTGTGCCCAGGCTGAGCTCAAGAGTGCCCCAGAAGGGCTTGAATCTATCAGGGCATGTATTCACAGGAGCACTGCCCCCAGCTTTGGAAACTGGGATGGGAATGGATGAGGCTCCGCCTTTTCCCCTGTGAGGAAATTGGGACCTGAATAGCAGAGGGTACCAATGGGCACCAGCCCAGGTCCTGCCCCAGGCGATACCTCCCCTCAGCTGGAATCTCATGCTTTAAAATCTCATGCTTTTTTTGTCCTGACATGGCAAGCTAGGATTTCCTCCCTGTTCCTGTGCACAAAACCCCAGTGCCAGGTACACGTTGCAGAATCCTGTGGGACCTGAGACTGAGTGGGTATGGTCTCATTTACCCATGTTCTGACCAGACAGAGATTTCCCTCTCTCTAGCTGAGGGAGGACCCATCCATCCTGCCCCCCTGCATCTTCCCAGCACATGCAGCCTGCTCCACCAACACAGTCCCTGCTGTATATCAACAGCCTCTGCATTGCCCTGACAGAGGAAGAACGAGTGACTGGCTTCTCTTGGCTCTCATGTCAACCAGAACAATGCTCAGAGTCCAGTGATGTACACAACTACTACAGCCACAACTTAGGAGCCCTTGAAAAACCAAGGGGCAGGTTGGCTCAGCCCGACACAGCCAGGAATAGCCCAGTTACACCAGCAATGGGAGCTGGGAGCTCCGGGAGCTTTCATGACCTCCAAAGGGCCATCCATTCTGTGGCACAAGAGGGGGCAAAGAGAAGGGAAGGTTTCCTAGCATACATGCTCCAACCCAGGCTTACATTCAGGTACTCAACAGGCTTGGTGACATTGAACTTGTCCATCGTGGTGATGATGATGGCAGGCGTAGTGAGGAAGAAGAGGAGGATAAAGAGCACCACATTGATAACCAGGCAGCGAATCCACCAGATGAAACCCCGGATGGAAAGGTGCTCCCTACAGGCAAAAGAGGGTACCAAACCCAGTGAGGAGTGCATCGCTGGAAGGGCAGAGGACCCAGGGCCCCATGCCAGGGATGTGGTTCTGTGCTGGGCAGAGCCATGAGGAAAGCTGAGCTGGGCTAGGGGAGTTCAACTCCTCTGGTGCTTGAATTCCTTTAGAAGCACCTGGATCCCACTGCCCCCGAAGTCCCCATACTGGATCAGATCTTTTACCCAGCAGAGGAAGCCAACTCTCCCTGAATAGCTTCCCTTTCCTCCCCTACCCTTCTAAGACCCACATATGCCAAGGTCAGGCCTCAGCCAGGTGCACTGCATATGTCTACCCTCTACAAGGATTGTTGGCTCTTCCCCTCCCACTAGGGCCCACTGCCCTGGTAAGGGTCAGGCAGTGGTGGCAGCCTGCTTACCAGTAAATGTTCTGTGGGTCGGGGGCATAGCTAACGGTCCAGTTGGAGACATGGAGGGACTCACTGCAGGAGGAGGCCCGAGGCTCCCCACGGCACATGCAGCCCTGGCACTTGCACACGTTGAAGTCTTTAAGGATTCTGGGAGACAACAGACAAGAGAGAGAAGTGAGTGGGGGTTGAGGAAATGCTAGGACCCGAGGTCAGAGAGCCTGAGCCCAGAGGCATCAGGAAGGCCAACCTCAGCACTGGCCCTCTGCTGATTTACAGGGCCTGGCAGGAGCTTTCTTACCTTGGCAGGTACCAAATTCTTTTTCCCACCACCTCCTCCCAACCACACCTCCATGAAAGAGTCCTTTTCCACTTACATGGCTGTGATGGTCTCATTGTGGAAGGTGACAAAGGCCATCCCCAGAGGCTTCTCATTCACCTTTTCCTTCTCCCGCTTGTAATCATCCTTAAGCTTCTCCTCTAGCTTGGTGTAATACTCTATGGCCTCCACCTGGACAAGTCAGAACACAGAGCCCCATTTACTCCGTAGCTGCTCCTTTGGGCCCCTGGCTGGGCACCTGCCTAGTGTTGCTCCTCCCCAGGCTGGAGAGGTGGTTGTCAGGGGCAGGAGTTCTGTGGGGTGCCACTGGGTCAGGGAGACCAGCCTCATGATACATCAGCTCTGCTTGTTATTATGGCTGAAAGAAGCTCAGTTAAAAAAGCAAATGGGCCAGGGGGGTGGGCTGACACAGCCCTTCTTGTGCTGATACTGGCAGAAGCTGGCAGCACTGTCAGGCCAGTGTACTTGGAATGGGGGTGATGTCCCAGCACCTGCAAACTGACTGTACGACTGCCTGTATACAGACCTCACCGACCCCCTTGCTTACCTCTTCACAGCCCTTGATGACACAGCAGCACAGGTGGCCACAGGGCTTCGGGTTAATCATTGCCGGGGTGTTCTCCTTGCTCTGCAGGTTGGTGAAATAGATCCTCCCACGTTCAGCTTTCTTCCTGTAACAGAAGGCAGCAAGAGGAGAAGGGGCTCAGAAAAGCTCTTGTGGCACCAGTTCTGCTCAGGGAGGGTGAGAGTTGGAGTAGAAAGCAACGGGAACAGCATACCAGCAAACTCATGCTTGGACCTGCTACCCCAGACCTGGGCTCCCTACATCCAGCTCTGCAGATGCCCCTCCCTCCTGACCTGCAGCCCCACTCCCATGTAACTTCTAGATTGCCCTTGAGCAGCGGCTATCATTCAAGTCAAGTGGTACCCAGCTCCATGCCTCTGTGGTGGAGACAGCGCCTAACTAAAGACTAATCCAAGACCATCAGACATTTTACTAGTGATCTGTTCTCTGTCACAATGAGGTGGTGAGACAGCCTTTCAAAGGAGGGGTGGCGAGGGCCGGTCATTAGCTGATTTTAAGCTAGAACTCAACCAGCATGAGATTATACAAGGGGGTTGCCTGAAATAGCAGGTGATTGGACTTGATGATCCAGGAGGTCCCTTTTGGGCTGGCCTCACACCACTGAACATCACCCTCTCAGCCCAGCGGCATTCCTTTAGCTCTGTGCAATGTTCCTGGAAACCCCTGCCCCCTCACCCCAGTTTTTACCTCTCTGCATCCAAAAACATGAGCCTGGCCACATCATAACAAGGGCGCGCCTCCAGAACGGTACAGTTGGCATAAGCCTCCCTGCGAACAGAAGAAATCACTCGTGCTTATTAGAAGAGAGGCTGAGATATACAGCACAAACAAAGCTGTTGTAGTTGGACAGAGTGCTGTCCTAAGGTCTGGGGGCTCCAGCTCATGGGCCAAGTCCCAACTGCCAGGGAAATGTGGCTAACAAGCTCCTTTAGCCATGTGAAACCTTCTGGGAGGGCCTGCTGAGGAAGCAGTCCTCTTGGGCACCAGAGGGAGGCCCCTCCAGTTGTTTGTGTTGGAAGGAAGTGTGTATAGTTGGAAGACTGCTTCTGAGAAAGTGTGACATGGAATTCAGACAATTAAAAATAATAGTGTGGGGGTATACAGGAGGGGTTAATGACCTCTGTACTGCTTCAGGGGGTCGCGTCCCCCATATACATCTCCTCCCCTCCCATTCCATGATCCTGTTGCGCTTCAAGGCTCTGTGCAGGCAGGAAGTTGAGGCACTGAACAATGACGAGATCGAAGACTTCTCAATATTTTACAATCCACAATTCTTTTTTGAAGGAAAAACTGGGTTTCTGAGTTTTGTGTAGCATCTACTTTCCAAAAAAAAAAAGGTGACTTTACTGAAAAACTGAATGCTGCATGCCCCCGGAGGCTGGGGAGGGCACGGCAAGCTCCCACAGCACTGTTGGCGGTGGCAAGCAGGGAGCTCCTGCAGGCAGCCACAGTGTTGACAGTAGCGCCGGGGGGGGGGGGGGGCCCGCCGCAGGGCTGCAAAGCCCCCCCCGTGGTTGGCAACCACCCAAAGACGCCACCAGCAGCGGTGGCAGTGGCCAACGTGGACTGCATGCAGATGCCGCCAGAGGTGTCGGCAGTAATGGAGAGGGGGGAGGTGGCGAGCAGTGACCGCCCACAGGGGGTGCACTGCCATGCACCCACGTGCACTGCCTACGTGTCGCCAATGCCTGAAGACTTTGGACTCAGAAACACCACTGCAGCATGATCCTGGACTTGCATTTTGTGAGCAGCATACCCCCAATCTCCTCCCTGGACTTGATCCCTAAATTGAACTTCACCTCCTATGATGCAGTCTGGCTACAAAATCCCAGGATGTGCCAGAGTGCTTCTGTCAAAGGGGAGACAGCAGTGCATCATGGGAGTTACAATTCAACCTTTAAAGTAGAATGAGGAATGAGGCACCCGAGCTATAACCTCCCCCTACAAAAAGAAAAAATAACTGTGATAGTATTTTCTAAATGCATGTTTTTGACTCTTTTTAGGGCTGAATATTTTCAGTGCTCAATGTTGTTTTTTTTCTCTTTTGCCCCAAAAGTTAACATTTTCCCTCAAAAATTACCCCCTACTGAGGGCAGCTTTGGTTGAGATTCAGGGCAAGCATAGAAACTCACTCAAAATGCTTCTTGATCTTCTCTGGCTCAGCATATTTTGAGATGCCATTGATGAAGAGAGTTCGCTTCACCTGGAAGAGACAGGGGAGTGACAGGTGAGGACTGGACAAGGACTCCAGCAGGTAAGAGGCCAGGTTTCAGTCAGGGGATCAAGGGCAGGCCAAATTTAAGGTTAGAGGGGGGAGCAGGTGTTTATTAGTGGCCATGGTCATGCATCCAGTTGTACCAGGCTGCCTCCATTGTTAGCAAACACATAACAGTCGCCACAGTTGTGAGCCCTTCAACTAATTCTGTAACCAATGGAAAAGATGTTGAGTAAATAATTTAAGGAGGGCAGTCAGACAGCTTAAGTAGGCAGTGAATAAGCTAAGTGATTTAAGAAAGCTGGGGGCTACAACAGATTAGATTTCAAAGTGGGAAGCACACATTCTGCAAACAGCGCCACCCCTAACATAAACATGATAAAACCTGTGAAAACTGGAGACACTGTAAGACCAGCAAATAAACATCAGACCAGGAAAACATCCTGAGAGGGGCAAAGGACGTGTTGTTGTCAAGACAGCTAAGGAGGAGATGGGGTGCAGACGACTGATAAAAGGGCAAGTAAAATAAGAACTGTGGGACCTCTGCCCTGACCTGCCAAGAAGAAGTGCAGACCCCAGAAAAACTTCTGAAAGCCAGGCTGAAGGCAAATGTAATCAGAACTCTTGGGGAGGTGATATCTTTTATTAGACCAACTAGACAGTTGCAGACGCACTGTCCTTGGGACTATGTAAGACTTATGCAAAATTTTTGTTGCGTCTTAACTTAGGTAAAATTTTCTGTTGTTTCTTTGTCTGATGCTTAAAATTGTAAATTGCTGTATTCAAACGCTCTCTGCAGAGAATAGACTATTCTTGTCCAAGCCATTTTCATGACTTCAGCGCCACCACCCAAATTCTAACACTAAAATTAGGTGACACCATCCCTGCAGGCAACCTCATCAAGCCACTCTGGGCCAGAGCTTGTAAGACAGTTCCTGGGCTCACTGGTCATTGAGGAGAGTTGAGCTGTCCCCATCACCCATGGCCAGGTAGCAAAATGGCTCCTTGGGAAGGGTGACCTGCCAGTTGGTGGTATTGCACAGACTGCAACCTGACACAGCCAAGCCATATGCCAGCCCCTGCACAGTGCAGACATGGGTACTGCACTGAGGCTGTTTGCACAGAGCTGCAGTGATGGCATTGTCCTTGGAAAGTGATGCAGATGAGATGACAAACAACAAGGGAGCCCAGAATCCATGCAGTAGAAGGACCTCCAGATGGGAAGAGGCAGAAGAGGAAAGCACATCTCTAGTCTTAGTGGGGTCTTGGGAGACCTGGGGCTGTTACACGTACACTGGGATGAGATGGGGTAAGACCCCTATATGGGCAGTACCTCCAGTGTAAGTTGGAGGCCCGGCTGGGCTGGCAGTGGAAGAGAGAGGCAGAGAGGCACAGGGAAGGGCAGGTGGAACTTACCAAGTCATCCTCCTTGTAGCGCATCTTGGAGGTGTGCCGGCGCATGCTGTACACCGTCAGCAGCAGGTACAGGAAGGCAAAGGTTGTGTGCAGCCACAGCAGGTGAGTCCTGATACCAGAAAGAAGCCACTCTCAGTAAAGACCCAGAAGCTGGCACAGGGCCCACCATTCCCTTCCTCTCACTCAGCAGATACCTCATGCCTTGCCAGCCGGCTCTTGCTGACCATCCTAGCCCTCATGGGCCCAGCCAGGCCAGGCTGACCAGCACAGCATAGGGAGGACAATTCAGCTGGCTGTCCATTTGCACACATGCCTCAGAGCTTAGCTTGCTGCTCAATAACATGGTACTCCCAGAGCCTGGACCCAGGCTTTTGCTTTGCAGGTAGAAACTGCTAGAGGTGGACTCTCCAGCCTGCCTGGGCTGACAAAAGCAGCAGGACACACAGACAGTGGCACAGTGACCACCAGGGCCTTCGTGCACGGGGAGGCTGGATGACACCATGAGGTAGTGTCCCGCTCTTCTCCCCAACCACTAGGGCTCTGCTTTACATATGCCAGGGGCCCACTCCACCCCCTCCAAAACATACCAGGAATTCAGGTTGGCAATAGTTGTTCTCCCAAAGCTGTAGGCATTGTTCTCTGGAGAGAAAGATGGACAGATAGACACACTCAATTAAACCCAACCGAGTTGTAGTGTGGGGTACCCAGAACAGTGTGGATGGGGTGGGGCAGGGCAGGCCTGCTTTAGGTGTCACATAAGCAATGCCCCTAAGAAACAAGAAGTTTTCCCTCACAATACCCTTTAATTGATATAAAGGTGAAAGGTCAAAGCATCTGGGCACTCCGGACTTCTTGGCTGAGTCACTCTGGTCCCAAACACAATACAGTGAGGGCAGAGCTGCTTATGGGCATTGCAACACCTTCCCCAGACATGGCGAGACCCTGCCCCCCACCCCCAAATTACAGCCACTTGCACTCCGAGACCACAGACCCTGTCCCCCCTCACATGCTATGCTGGGGTTAGATCACTGAAAGGGATATGGGTGCTGAGCAAGACCAACTATTTCTCTTCCTAAGTTGGGAACCAATCTACCAGGAGCCCTTCCTCCCCTCCCCTACTCACCTAGCAAGTCGCCTGAGAAGTTCACAGGTAGCACGATGCCCACGGAGAGCACACCCACGGCCACGAGCAGCCCTATGATGTGCCGCTGGAAGGAAAGGTAATGGACTGCATCGCCTCCACACTTATCCCGGATTTCATCATCCCTGGCAAGGAAAGGCAGGCAGTGAGGCACTGTTAACAAGGGAACAAGTCCCACTGGCCTGTCAGCACCTGGAGAAAAGGCAACACTGTGGCTGTGGCACCTGAAGCACAAAGTGCACAAGCCCCTGAAGCCTGAGCTAAAAGTGTCCAAATGATCCCACTAACCAAAGCGCTTTGAGACCTCTGGATGGGAAGCACTGAGCGCACTGGCGGCTAGGGGTCCATGTGGTCATACAGGAACATACCATATTTACTCAACTCTTAGATGACCCCCCAATAACTAGATTTTATACATGGAAAAATTATTGTGTTATAATTTTCCAGGTATAGAATTTAATTATTGAAGAACTGCCTTAAATTCTTCCCTCCACCACTGTAGGGGGGCAGGCAGCAGGATGATAGGTGGTGTGGGGAGGTCAAACGTCTTACCCCCTGCTTGTGCCTGCCCTCCCCCAAGCCTCAAGCTACTCCCTTCCCCCTCTGCCTCTGCTCTACCCTCCCCTCCCCTCTCCTCCCCCAGCCCTTGCCCCCCATTCCTGCCCCCTTGCCTTTGCTCTGCAATGGCAGACTCCATCCTTGCTCTAGCCTGGGGCACACAACACACGTGGGCTGTGCAGTGCTGCTCTGGGGCCATGCTCAGTGCCCCAAGCTGCAGCTTGAATGAAGTCTGGCGGCATGGAGCAGAAGTAAACATGGAGGGAGAGCAGCAGGCAGGGGAGAAGAGGCTGCATGAGGGATAGGGGAGATGAGGAGAAGCTGCAGGAAGGAGATAGCAGGGATTGGGGTGGGGGCAGGCAGCAGCTCTGGCACTGACCCTGGGTAGGGGATGGAGCTCAAGCCACAGCAGCAGCCTGCCTCTCCCCATAAATGATTCTAAGATGAGGGGCTTTTCTTCCCATGTTAAGTGGGGCAATGGATCTCATCTTAGAATTGAGTAAATACAGTAAGATGGACAGGGGATTCCTGGGTCCTCAAATCTAGCCCCCTGCTACTTTAGGCTCCCTGGTTTATTGATAGCAATGGACTGAGCAGGCTATGGCAGATCCCTTCCTCAAAGCAGGGGAGGTGGGGCAGGGCAGGGTGGATGGGTTACAGCTAGGGCACTTGACAGAGCTGTGGAAGACCAGGGCTGGTTTCCTTTTCCTGCCTCTGACTTGCTGGGTGTACTCAAGTCACTTAGCTATTTTGTCTCCAATCCCACTCTGTAAGATAAGGGAATAACTCTTTCACAGTTTGTCCTTGCTGCTCAGACTGCATGCTGCTTGAGGCAGGGAATGTCTCTTGCCGCATGCGTGTAAAGTATTTAGTACAAAGGGCCTGGATTCCAGTCAGGGCTTCTGGGTGCAACTACAACACAAATGGCTAACTTTCTAAAGGGTGAAGTCTCCCCCACCTCTTCTGCTACTTAGGTCCAGGCAGGATCTCTGCTGTAAAACCAGTGCCTGGATCCAAGGCTGCACTTACTTTATCCTGAAGATGGCTGTCAGCCAGGAGCAGAATCCCTGCACAGAGAGACAACAGAACCCTGTGTTACACCGTGGCATCTCAGCACACCCCTGTCTAAAGCCCTAGGAGAAGGTCTACACAGTGTCCCCGGCTTTGCCCACAGCTGCCGCTCACACACTACAAACCAAAGAAATATGCAAGGGAAGCCTCTCCAAGTCCGCTCTCTGCAGGCAGTCTTAAGACCTTGGTCTCTTGGGTGCTTGTGGGGGACACTCCCACAGCCACTTTACCACCACATTCCCAGGTTTGGAGCATGGAGACAGGGGTGGCTGGGCTAGACATTCCCAGAAGTGGCCCTCCTCGGACAGACCAGGGCTCTGTGTAAATTGTACTCCTCTCCAGGCACCAGAAAGCTGCGCTTGCTCTCCCATCTCCCTGATTCCCACTGGCTTACACTGCCAAAGTGGAAGGCTCCGGGAGGACACAGACCATACATGCTCAGGGGGTACAGGACCGTGAATATGCCCATCTGGGGTAGGTCACGATTATCATGTGATGTTGCCTGAGCACAGCATGTGTCAGGGTCTGGTCTGTGACAATACTACCAACTGGCTGGTCACCCTTCCCAAGGAGCCATTTTCCTTTATGATCATGGGTGATGGGGACAGCTCAACTCTCCTTAGTGACCAGTGAGCCCAGAAGCTCTCCCTCACAAGGTCAGGCCCAGAGTGGCCAGATGAGGAGCAATGTGCAAGGAGACAAAGAGGGAGCAGGAACTAAGTCAAAGCTTCCCCTAGTACAGAGCAGGTCTGGGGTGAGAGATGTCTCGTGGGAAGCCCACCAGGATTTGCTGGATCCTGGACTCTGCCATCTAACTTAACCACAGCTGCTTGTTGGGAGGAAAAGGACACAGCAAGGGACCATTCAACTGCCTTGTCACTTTTAAAAGAATTTATCAGCTGGCTGTGAGGTGGAAGAGCCAACACCATGTAACCAGCCACCACCCATTTGGGACCATAGTTTGAGAACCTCACTTCTTGCAACTGGTTGACAGGGTGTGGTGGGGTGATCTGGATACCTGGATTTTTTCCCCCAGAACCAGGAGTGGAGTATTTCCTAGTGGTTAGAGCACTGGACAACAAGTCAGGACTCATTTGCTCTATGGCTTTGGGTAAAAGGCTTCGCTTCTCTGCACTTCTGTTTTCCTCCTGTGGGATGGGAAGGATGATGCTGGCTTGGTCCCAAGGCTCAGCTGGCACATGCAATGGACTATAAGCCACCTAGGCAGGAGGTGCTACACTGATTTTTGCTGCTACTCACATTGTCCCTCTGGTCGAAGTCCACGGAGCTGGAGACGGAAGTGAGGCGCTCATAGCGGTCGTGGTTGTCAGAGTGCAGGGCAGAGGCCACACTGGAATTACAACAGTGGGGAAGAAAATCAATGAGTCAGTGGAAGAAAGCAGAGAAGACTGGCCAGGAAGCAGCAGCACCCAGAAGATCAGAGGTTAATTCAGGTCAGTTTGCCCCAGGCGAGATGGAGAGAGAAGAGCCTCAGAGAGCAGAGTGTCAAGCAGTTAGCAGAGTCCCTCCTCATACCACATGGACAAGACTGGCCTCCAGGGCCTGACCCACAGACAGACAGACATAGAGCTCTACTGTCATTCACAGGAACAGACAAAGAGAGTATGTTTAAGCAGGTTCCCTTTCCTTCCTCTCCCTTTCTCCCCAGCAGTCCCTCACTCCCAGCCAGGTCTGGTCAGCAACAGCAGGACAGCTAAGCTGCAGCTCAGACCAAAGGCCAGAGAACATGATGCGCCTGTGCACGTGTATTAGAGAGTGAGGACACAGTTGCCCCCAGGTGAGGAGGGTCTTGGGGATGCTGCTAAGGAGGAGAGATTAGGCCTACCAAATTTGGAGTGGGGATGGATATTGGATAAGAGGGGATATAGGAGAGGGCTCCATGGTAATGGGTGCCATGAGTAGGTTGCTTGCGAGACAGCTGCAAGGAGCCACATGGGAAATCTAGGTGACAACTTCAAATTGGTTAATTAAACAAAAATCCCATATAGCAGTGGTTTTCAATTTTTTTTGGCTGCATACTCTTTTACCTGCAAAATATTGCTACTTGTATCCTACATACCTGACATGTTTCTGCATGTTCATTCCTTAGACAGAGTGTTGATGCCAACATCAATGCCATTACTCACTGTGCAATGAACAATCAGAAACTCCACCATCATTATTAAGATTTAGGCATGTATCCCTCAGGGTACATACATCCCAGTTTAAAAACTGCTGCCAGACAACATGTGACTGCCCAAGCAGAATGCTGAGGCCAAGTTTAAAAATATAAGAACAAGACTTCATGAGGAATACAAGAAGACCCAGGAACTAGCTCAGGGAGAAATGTGTATGGGCGATATATGATTAAACCAATGACTTCCCTGGGCACAGGTTCCTCTATAAATACCCACTAGTAGGTACTGACATGTTTTCCTGAAGCATTTTGGTACTGGGCAACCTTAGGGCATTTATACACATACTTTTTTTCCCCGCACACTGGGGAGCCTGCTCCGCATGAGCTGAGGTGAGCTTCACTGCACTGCATGCAGTTCTATAAGTGGCGAAATGTGCGTCAACAGGCAGAAAATGGCAGCGGTGCACTTTTGAATTAAAGCACCTCTGAGGTGCAATGCAAGGCACCTTTAAAGCGAAACATGCATGTGTAAAAATGCCCTTCGAGACAGGACACTGGTGCAGTTTCTATGTCCCTCTGGTGAATGAGAGGGCTGGACAGAGTGAGTTAGCATCTGGGGGATATTATAGTGCTGTACACAGTTTTGCAAATATATCGTAACATTTTCCTTCATGCATTTAGGGATTTAGCTGGCAATATCATCAGCTCCATTCTTCCAAAGGAAAATGGAGTCACAGAGAGAGGAGGGGACTTGTTCAAGATCACATAGAGGCAAGCGTGGCCAAGCCAGGAACAGGACCCAGGTGACCTGCCCCCCAGACCTGTTCTAACTGCCTGACCCTGTTTTCCTTCCTATGAGCAAGCTGAGGGTCAAGCATATGAACAGGCAGGAGTGTATGGAGGCACCTCTAGTATTCAGTCTCTGGCTGGCTTTGCCGTTAGGGGGCACATCTACAATTCTGGAGAGAACAGCAACATTTCTCACACATCCTTCTCAAGGTGACCAAAGACTGGATAGACAGGTTGGATTGCATCCTGGGACACGTAGTTTCTGTAGACATCACTTTTCTCATTAAGGAGGAGAGCTGGGTACCTCAGGGGCCATATGCAGACTATCTTGACCTAATTCCCCAACCCCTTATCCTCAGCCTTTGTCCTGCTATCACAGCCTGCAAGCTGCTCAGAGTGCAGTTGGGTAGTGCCCAGTGGGAGCAGCAGCTTGTCCCTCATTTTTGCTGGGAAAGCCAGAGAGGACTGGCTGAGCTCCCTGGAGGCAGGCTTGGCATAGTTTGCTCCATAAACTTCAGCACAGTCTGTGCTTCAGGAGCAGGTGGGAAATCCTCAATTCCCACGAGGGGAAACCAAACCAAAACAGGGTGTGGGGGCAGAGATTGGGGAATTGCTCTGGGCTGGAAGGCAGAGAGCAATAGAGGGGGAAGAGGCAGCTACTCCCTGCAGAGGATGAGGATGGCAGAGGCCAAGACACTGAGTGCTGTGTATTAGCAATTTCCCCTCAGCGAACGAAGCTACATGGTGGAACATACTGGGGAGGTGGGGGTGTACTAACCAAACCATGTTTCCTGTGGGTCACTTGGGGTGTCATTCACTTGCATGGCATAAGCCAACTAGTTCTCTCATAGCTGTATCATAGCAGTGGAGGCTGCGGGGATGGAGTGCACAGAAGGCTCTCAGTCTCAGACCTGGTCCCCTGGGGTTTAGCTCCAAGACTGCTCCAAAGCCAACAGAAAGCAATAGGTGCTCTACCCTTTGGGGGGCTTTGGGCCAAGCCTGGGGTTATTATTGCAGAGTATTTCCATCAGAAGGAGACATTACTCCCCCTTTTGAGCCCAGGGAGGCTAGCTCCTGGGGAAGCTGGGGGTGCTGAAAGCAGTGAGTGAAAAAATAAATGTCTGATCAGGCAGGAAAGGGAGCGAGGGACTACCTGAGGGAGAAACTGGACAGTAGGATACTTGGACAGTGAAGAGTGGGGAGGCCTGTGAAACTTGACTGCAGAAGAGACCTCTCTGAAGAGCTGAGTTATAGAAAAGGCCCCACATGCTCTTCAGCAAGCCAGACCATACTTTTGTAGCCTGATCCCTGCATCCCACAGCACACGGCCGTGGCAGATTTTGTAGCAACTTCAGAATGACTCTGGAGATGGAGAACGGGGTAGTGCAACAGGTTGGGTTGTTCACTTGGATATTTTATATTGTCTCCAATTGTCACTGTGCTGGAGGGCTCTGGGGTGAAAAATGGAACCGAACCTCAGTTAAAAGGGGAAACCTAGAGGTTTTGGGAGATAACAGGAGACAGCTGCTTCCAGACTTGGTGAGAGGGAAGGAGCAGCCTGAGATTGTAGGTTAAGCATGTCAGCTGGATGTTTCTGTCAAATCAGCAATGAAATGGTAAACAGTGCTCACATTTATGCTGTCATCACTATGTTTCAGGGTTAATATCCCAGCTGGATGAACAAGGAAATTCACCTCATTATAGCTATTCTTTCAGGTTCTCTGTAAACTCAGGCAGGCACCCATGGTTTGGCTACACTTGGTTCGTGTTATCTTGCCAACAGTCAGGGACTGCATTTAATGGAAGCTGAGATGCTCAAGCCTAATCCTGCAGCAAGAAGTAGAGCCCATGGCAGTGAGCTCACAAGACAGAACTTGCTACTGAAGCATGCAAGCCTGCCTGGTAGGAGACTGAGCTGCTGTTCTGGACCATGACAGGCAGCTGTGTGGCAAAGGAGCAGCTGAAAATGTTAAGAGAGACCTTGAGAAGTGATGGGAAAAAAGTGGTAATGGGAGGCTGACACCTTAGGCAGAAGGATGGATGAACAGAAGGCAGGCAGGAAGACTGGAAATAGGAAAACTTGGCCCCCATTAGGGGTGCTAGATGATGACAGGACTAGTTGGAGAGGAGCCCAAACAGGGACTGAGAAGCAAGCACAAAAGCAGCCAGCAGAGGAGAGGTAACTGGTCCTCATTAATGACTCTCCAGAAAAGGGGCTTCTATGACAGAGGAAGGGAACTGGGAGGGCCCAGGCTGCCCCACAAGCATCCTGGCAGAGGACTAGAGAAGAGCAGGGCAGCTGCTGCAGAGTGGCCTGATCTCGCCACCACTCCCCCTGCTGCTGCCGGGGAAGAGAGGACACAAGCAAAAGGCGATTAAAGAAGATCAAGGAGGACTTCAGGGACATGGGGAGGGAAATGAGAGGAGCAGATAGAAAGAAGCCTGCAGCTGAAGGTGCAGATGTGCCACTCCCTAAGGGAAGGAGGGGAGAGTCCCCTCTCTGCACAAATCAGGGGAGACCCTGAGCTAAGCCTGAAGCCCTTTCAGTCTCAGAAGCCTTCTGTCCTGGAGCAGAGAGGGATTAGCAGCAATCCCTGCAGCTCTGCAGTTGGGTAGCTATGCTGTATCCCAGGACCTTCCTTTTCCAGTCAGACAACACAGACCAAAACTGTTCGGAGGAGAGCAGTGTCAGAGGGATCCATTTAGAGAAAAGAGCAGAAATCAAACCTCACCGGCCAGACTCAACACAAAAGACGGTGGTGGTGATGTGAGGGGAGTGGGAGACGGCCAGTCTGGAGCCCCAGGCCAAGTGTGAATGTCAAGAAGGGGGGGCAGTCACTGGGGACATGCCTGGAAGCAGCACTGCACCATTACAGGAAGGAGGAGGCAGAACGGATCTCATATGCCCCTTCCTGCGAACACTGTACCCAGGGATGCCAGGAGCCCCTACAGCCAGGCCCCCCAAAGCAAGACTGAGCAAAGCATGAGCAAAATGTGCTCTAGGCTGCGATCCTGCCCTGGTCCCTGCAAGTGGGTCAGGATGAGACCTGTCAGGCCCATCCTGTAGGACGCAGTGCCTGCGCAACTATGACTCACTCGCCGTGGAGTCTGGGCCTCAGGCACGGGGAAATAAATGTGCACAGGATCCACGAGGGGGAGCTCGTGGGCAACGTGTTGCCAGGCAGACTAGCCCCAGGTTGGCCGCTGAGCCAAGCAGGAGGCAGCAGTGTGGGCAGGATGTGGGACAGGACCTCTTCTACCTGAGGGCTGGGGCCTAGCCTGCTGCCTCCCTCCCTGCCCATGAAACAGAGCCATCCTCTGCTCCAGCTTGCACAGGGGATGGCTGGCATGGGTCTGGGCAGCAGGAAGAACAAGGACACAAGCAGACAGGTGAATCCACAAGCAAGCCAGCACTTCTCTAAGATGAGGGTGCCACCTGTGCTAGTTAGGAGTGATGCTGTGCAGGGAACCATGCCCTGGGTCTCAGGCTGTGAACATCAGGCCTTGGTGGCCAGCAGACCAGCTGCAGCCCTTGCAGGTTTCTCCATACCCGTGTGCACAACACACCAACGCAACCCTGCGTGGAGACACAGCTGGGAAGGAGAGCTGCTGCCAGCCCTGGGGTGGGGGTGGGGAGAAGATAGATTCAATCTGGGTTTTCCTTGCTCAGCTCCAGCAGTTGTTAGCTAGTAGCCATCAAAACAAAGCATATCATGGCTCAGGCTGTGAGATCCCCCTAGGCAGCAGAGAGAGGATCCTTGCCGGGGCAGGAGGGGGAGGAGGGTGGAACAAGAGAGAAGGAAGGGGCGAGCAGGACTCAGGGGACTGGTACTGCCTCCCCAAAGAGATTCTGTGCCGGGCCCTGGGTGTGTTTTGTGCTCTGCAGTGAGAGCTGGTCCCCTCCCACGCAGCACTGGCTGTCTGGCCAGGCAGAGTAGCGCAAACAAGACCAGGTGATCAAATAGATCACTGCTCTCTAGGGTGGGGACAGGGCAGAGTGCATATTTTGGAAAAAAAAGTAGTCAAAATGTGTAAGGATGTTGTCCCTGCTGGGAAGCAGAAGGAACATGTGTGGGCACAGGATCTATCTGGACCAAGTTGCTAGACCAGCAGTTGCTGCTGGGGTTTTGCAACAGGCAGTGTCAGGCCAAGGTACCGGAAGGTGCCTTCCATAGCCCTACCGGGAAGCACATGCCTGCAACACTGGCTGTACACGGAGTATGAGCTTAGGGAAGACAAAGACAGTGCCATCCCCTGGCACAACTGCTAGGTTTAGGGTGCATGGGGAGGGGGGAGAGGCCCTGCCCCCCATAGCAGGCTGACTACTCAGGGGATAGTAGGGAGCAAACTCCAATAACCACACCCCTGACCTACCAGGCCCTCTCCAAAACTAGGTATCTAGGAAGACCCAAGGACTAGGAGAGCAGCTCTTGTTTTGCTCCACACAACCCCACCCACCCCTCGCTGGTCCGGTAGCACAGCTGAATTGATTGGCATGAGGAAAAGGCCTTGCTTAAGAGAAGGCACAACGAGGGATGCCTGTGGAGTCAGAGGGCAACCTGTATTCACAGCTGCTCCTTCTGGAGGGGCAGAACCAGACTTCTGGCTCCTGTGCCTCTGAACATGGGGATGGGAAAAGCCCCTTTCCTTTCCCACCCCAACTGTGTGGTGGCAATGAACTGTAGTCTGAGTCAAGGGCTTCAAGAGAAGCCCCTCAGCACTGCCATCCGCAGATGGACAGAGGAGGGGTGAGCAGGGTGGGAAGCAACCAGCCTTTGGGAGGTGGGGGATGGGATGAACAGAGTGCAAACACACAAGCTTTGGAGTAAGGAACAGTTAATTCTGTGGCAGCCTCCAGCATCGCAGGGCAGGCTGCTCCTTGGGGGGACCCTCCTTCAGAGGACAGGGTCGGGTATCTGGGAAGGAAAAGGCAAGGGATGGGGCTCCTTCAGATGTGGCATATGGAAGAAAGGGAAGAGCCTGCATCAACTGAAACACACAGACCCTAAGCCCTAACTCCCAGCTACTCAGATTAGTCCAGACACAAGACTAAAAACTGCAAAAGAAAAGGCAGGAGAGAATGACAGGGAAGGAGAGAGAGAGAGAGAGAGGTAAAAGAAAAAACACCCTGAAAAAAAACCAACAACGTACTATTCCCGCTCCTCTCGCTCTGTCTGCCAGTCCCGCCGCCTGGGAGCAAAAAAAACAGAAAAAGGGAGGGTTACAACCATGGGAACTGTCAGGCACACTCAGGGAGCCTCCTCTGTCTAAGAGGACACTGCACCAGGCAGCTCCTTGCCATCCTGAGGAGAAGCCTGTCTACCAGCAGACAAAAGGAAGAAAATAAAAGGCAAAAAACCCCTCTTTTCATAGCTCTGTTTCGCACCAGGCTGCAAGTGCCCTAAGGCAGGGACCCTTTCATTTTTGCCTGTGAAATCTGACATGCACCTTTGGAGCTGACTCAGTTAGTAATGCACTTCCATTAGCTCTGCAGTGCAGCTGGGGCTCTCACATGAAGGGGTTGTAGTTTTGGAGCTGCAAACTTGATGGGAAGTGTGTGTGCACACGTGCAAATTTGGGATTTTGCAAAAGACTCTGCACTGCTTCCCTGGACATCATGTGTGTCTGTAAAATTCCAAACCAACAAATGCAGTATTTTTCTCCTGAGCAGAAAGATGATGCAAGACATGCACACAACACCTTGGCATGGACCTCTACAGTCTCAGTCCTATCCCACAACAGATTCCCAAGTTATGGTGTGCAAATCTGGCAGAAAGCATTTCCCACTCTTACTGCCCCATTCCTCCTTCCCTACTGCACTCCTGCTTTCCACTCCTACTGCCCCATTGTCAGGGACCTGGAGCCCAGCAGCCAGGATGTGGGGGTGTTTTCTGAGGAGGATGTGGGGTCCTTCTTTCTGGGCAGGATGCCCCCTATAGCAGCTCTTGAAGAAAGGGAAGATGCTGAATGACCTTCAGGAGCTGTGCTCTCTGAGGTGGAGCAAGAGCAGCAGCACACAAGTTGAGCCAGCTCCTGTCAGACCTGGGCAGGCAGGACAGCCTGGACAGGCAAGGCCAGGACTCTGCAGTGCCAAGTAAGAGAAGCTCTCCTAGTTCAGCTTCCTGTCTTTCCTCATTTGATCTTCTGGTTGAGCTATTCTTATACACTCAGGTCTCCCTGACAGCGCTGGTGTCTAGCCAGCACGCTGACAGACAGGGACAGATCCCCCTTTGCTGCATGTTACATTAGGACAGAAGACACTTTAGGAGAAGCAGCTCCACCTGTCCTGGAGACAAAGGCCTAGGGCCAAATCCTGCTTCCGCTGAGAGCAAACCCCATTGACTCCCCAGGGAGCAAAGTCAGCTGGTGCATCCTGCCTGGCTCTTCCCTCCTCCCACCCCTCTTCAGTGTCTTAGAGCAGCGCATGTGATTACACAGGCAGTGGGAATGTTTAACATGCCACAATGCCCCTCCTCCACAAAACGAGGAACAGACCAAATAATTTTGGTGCAGGAGGGAGGGCTGAGGACCTTGACAGCAGGGAAGCTGCTGTCTAGCAACCTATAGGAACTGCCATTTGGGCCCAGGGTGCTGCCATGCTACCTTCCTCTCATCACATTTCCCTCCACCACATGTCAGTGGAGGCGGATCATGGCCCAGGCACACTAAGTGTGTGAAGGCCCAAGCCAGTAACTTTCCTATCCCATCACTGCTAGGGAAATTGGGCCTATACGTCCATTTCGAGAAATTCTTTTCCCCTTGTGATGAAGACTCTGACACTTCTCTTAGTCTCCTGATTAGGGACTGAGGAGAGGCTCTCTCCTATAAGTCCTCTTAGCCCCCCTCTTCCTCCTCATACATTTTAGAAGCAAACTCTAACCTAAGGTCTCTGCACCAGCTCCCTAAGGTTATCTGGGGGAATGGAAAAGGAACACTCACTGCCCCTATCAAGGATCAGAGGTGATGTAGGAAACCCTCAGCCCAAATATTTTAGGCACTGGAAAAAAAAGACAACAGTCTGACCTGTATGGAGGGTGTCCTGGCAGCAAATCACCAGCTGGGCAAAATGTTTGAATTGCTGCCTTAAAATGTTCGGGTGTAATGGGGATGGCAGGATAATCTTTTTCCTCCATGGTTCAGACATCAGTGCAGGAAACACAACGCTTGAGGGCTTAGATCAACCATCTCCTTTGGGATGCCTGTTGTGATCCCCCCCAAGGCCTGGGCTTCAACATCCGCACCCATAGCTACCAGCATGAAGATGCTTCACTTCACTTGAGATCCAAAGTATTTTCTAGGGAAGCAGCAGCCCAGCCACCTCTGCTTCATCCCAGGGGTGGGGATAAGAGCCTAACAGAAGGCTGGGAACACTGCTTACCTGGCCTGACACAACCCTCCCGTTCCCTTGGATCCCCCTAACACTCACTGCCTGCCCCCCCCCCCCCCCC